CACAAATTTTAGAGCCACAGAGTTAATAGCCAACGCTTATGAATTGTTCTCTTCAGTGTCTATAAGAGATTTGGTATAATATGAAATAAAAATTTGTAATAAAATTTCGTATATTCAAGACTTATTAATAGCACGTTAAATAGCAAAATAGATTGAAGAGAGTCGGAAAAATTGAAGCTAAAGTATTGGTAAAAACCCATATCCCAATACCGCCTAATTCTGTCTAATATACCTGTCAGTTTTCAACGTAGATGAGTGTAATATTATAATGCTGATTGCTATGGAATTAGTATAAGAAGACCAGTACCGTGATTATAATGAAATGCAAAAGCAAAGCTATGAATACCAGATATCATTGAAAGTCTATAGTTAGGTAAAAATCCTGCTATTACGCTGAATAGCCACTGTTCGTGATAAGCAAGCACGCAAACAATCTTGGACTTTTAGTAACGTATAGATATAAAGTTTAGCGCCATTTTCCATATTCGTGTTCATGTGATACGTAATTAATACGTACTAAATATTGCTACTTAATTTAATATATTGTCAATTAAGATTCAAGAGAAAATAGAGACAACTTAGCTATAATACCGGATTGTACGGTTTAAAATAACCTTCAGCTAATAATAATATCAATAGAGTGCAATAATATACATTTCGTGTTCGGTATTGTAGAAAGCTGTAAATATCATAATGGAGACTTATCTTACAATTTAGAAATCAAGTAAATCTTGTATAAGAAAATTGTTAAGTGTGCACCACAAATCCTGTGGAAGGGTATAAAAGGGCGAGCGAATGCTCAGTCCGAGAGTTGGTTGGTAGATAGGGAACTGAACGGTATTGGTCACTATTCTAATAAATAACTATACTAGCCTAATAGAACAGTCTTATTCTTGTGTGCCAATTTAGTAGTCTAGTACTATTACACGTTAGATCTCCAGTAGTAGTGGAGCGAATAAGTAATCTAATAGTCTAGTTTAGTGGATCAGGAAGACAATTTGTGATAGTATTAAACATACCTTTTTAGTTATTAGCCAGCAAGTATTTACTAGCTATCAATACCTTTCATCTTAATCGCTGCATTATGTATTAAGTTACTCTCGTGCGAATATTGCGATTACTGTAGCACTATTAGTTAGAAGGTTGAGTAAGAGCGTCAATATTATTATCTTTGTGGCTGGTCTGGAAAGAAGGAATAGAGTCCTGTTAAGTAAAACTTATGACAGTACTTTTGATTCTTAATTCGTATTTTCTTCACGACCCTATTTATGTTATAGATACTATTTGATTAATTTAATATCAGACTTTGGCGTATTTTACTTTGACGTAATATTCCTTGAAGCGGATGTAAGCTTTTTCGATACCTACGATAATGTTCTGTTCGTAATGCTTCTTTTGGTCATGCATAATATTTATTCTTTACTATCCGAGTTTTTAATAAATAATGTGATGAAAATCAAAGTAGAATACGCGCTAAATCCACAAAGATCTGTCCTCAGTTCTGCAATTAAATTAATTGACTCTTAAAGATGCAAAATATTGCAAATAATGCAATAGCTTTATTCTAAAGTGTATCAAAATAACAAATCATTCAAAGAAACATCAATTTTGGTATAAAGCCTTATGAATACCCCAGTTTGAGTATCTTTATGACATCATTAGATTATTTAATATATTTGTGTATAATATATATTTGAAAAAGAACACCATAGAGCAACAGACAACTAATATAATCTCGGTTATTTCATTCATTATGAGACTATATATAATCATTTTTATAATTCATTTACCCTCCGATTACCTATCAATATCTCCCATACATTAAAATAGTTAGAACGTTACCTACAACTACAATTAGCTCTTCAACCTTGCCGGCTCAGTAACATAATAATCATATATATCGGTAAAGTATACAAGACAGACTTCTTGATCAATGCAATGATAAGTGATATTTTAAGAGTTGAAAGAACGCGACATGCAAATACAAATACTGAATAATAAAAATATCTATAGTTATATTTATAAGTTTAGAAATTTATTTTACTGACTTATGTTTATATGTTTATTTAAATCGTCGAAATTGTCAATAAATTAGAGCAACACAACAGAGTTGCAATAGAGAGGTAAGACCAGCGTTTAAAATAGCAAAATCGCTGTATTTTATATACTTTGTTCACAATCACTGGTATACTCTATACAGCACGTATGATGTGTCGTAGTATAGAATACTACTGAATTATAACTTGTTTAAATAAAATAAAATTAAATAGCGAATATATTTTCTCGATACTAATGTACATTGCACATCTATAGGAGTGGTATTGTCTTCTTTCTAGAATATCCAAAATAATCTAATCTAATCTAAAACTCCTTCTACTTTATTAAAATTAATAACTTTGCGCTTATTCCATTTACTGCAAGGCTAACATTATTGGTATAACTTCGGTTTATAATTATAAAATCAGCATAACTAACATATGTATTTATAACGATAACATTAGCCTAAGGAGTGCTAGGTAAGCCTAATTTTAAGGATTAAAGAATACAAAATTTTAAACTTTCGCGGAAATTAATACAAGATTTACGTAACTCCTCTTCATGTCCTAATTTTTTACCCCAGAAATAAATAATACATTATTTAGATTGGGCATTGCCAAAATTGTACAAAAGACAAATAACAAGCGTAAAGAGATTTTACCTTCCCTCCTATTTCTATAGTGTAAAAGATGAGCGTTGAATTTCTTTTTTTCTAGTTACACTGACCCAACATCGATATAGAACTATTTCTTATAATAGGTTTCCTGCCCGGCCCCTTTTCTTTAACTACAAATATAATTAATAATCCTTTCATATAACGAAAATAGCAATTTCTTACTTCAGGACAAAACTAAAAGTTTTCGATTCAAGTTGATCAATCCTCTTTACCCGCTGTTACAGTGTTAAATACTGTATTACAGCAGAAATAACTATGTTAGGATAATTCTGTTAGCCTATCCTTATTTAGTTAACTTCTAATTTGGATATACTGTGTTTTAATATAGCACTAACTTTTTATGACAGTGACACTTATACACACACTGAAATTAATAGTTATAATAATGAATGCAAATCATCTACTTACAATTCGAATCATTGTGATTGTAATTTACTTTGGTAGACTGTAAATTATCATGGAAATGTTCCGTGATAGGAAATATCGTAATCTGACTATTCTGTATTCGTCATTACATGTCTATGTTCGTAAATACTGTTGTCTGCATTAAGGGAGCAGTAGCTAAAATTAATGTCTAATTCAGTAAATGATTCCAATGTTAATTGTATTAACTATGACTCATGAACTATTGAGGAGTAGTATATAAATGCAGTATATCGTGAAATAAAGTGAATTCTCCAACTTAGTGTTTAACGTAAAATACGAGGCGTTTAAGTCTTTGTGTAGTCTGCTAGTAGAGCAAAAGTGTTCGTGATAGTGCAGATATTGTTCCTTGATACGTGGGCCAAGGAATTGACTTATTGATCGTATATTGCGTTATCTTGTTGCAAAGCTGTTTTGTGACACCCGCCTGGGATAATAATTTGTCTGCTGGAAAGTTCAGTTTCGTTTGAAGGAATGCTAGCTTAAAATTCAATTTAAGGCGTCAAAATTGCTCTAAAGCATCGTGTTAATATTTGTCACGCCTTTATCAATTTCTACGTTGCATATTAAGTTGTTTATAAAACGGTGATACTTTCCTAATATTTCTTTCCATTACTAGTTTAATATACTTATAATTTGGACTCGTACCGTACTAGTTAATCATTTAACAACAAACTAACAACTATACGAGACAAAAAATTGAGACCAGTTCCTTTTAGATAATTTAAAATTATTTATTTTACATAAGCGTAGTATAATGTTGGATATTGAGTTTAATATCCATTGTATTTTATGCATAAATCTTAACAATTATAGTCAATATTGCGCCTTGTGGCCTGCATTTAACATTCATGTTAAGGTTGAAAGTTGTTAGTCAACTTCCGATTCAAATAGAAGAAAATTATTAATGTCATTCATGGTAAACGGTAATTGTATGCTTAAGCTGCCATTTTAATCCTTCAGCTACACAATATATCCAGTGTCATCATTTATTATTATTGAAATTTTTTTTATCGAGTTCATTCATTTGATTTATTCATTCTTTTACTTTGAACAAGATCCCTTTCATATGACAGGATAACTTAAACAATTTTTTTCCTTTCTTTACTTTACTTCCCTTTATCCACTCTAAGTTTGTTGTTAAATATGATTTCATTGATCTAAATAAATTATCCAGATATACTATTTTCTTTAAAGTAAAAGTCTATCGCTAAAGTAACATGTCTCTAAAAATGAATACTATCCTATAGCTCTTCAATTTTCGGATCATATTCACATTTTTACATATATTTCCTATATTCATAAAAGAACTAGCATTTTTATATTATAATTACAACAGCAATTATCGAGACTGCTTTCTTAGTATCTATTTATAACAGATACGTATAAATACATACATACATATTCCAATTCAATTCATACTTTTTTTGTCTTGAATTCTATATCATCTTTACTCTAATAAATTAGTCGCGACATTTTTACTAGCTTAGATATTACAGATGATCATTGATAAAGCTTACAGTATTTAGAATAATAGATTTATCTTCGATTACTATATTATGAAAATGATTTAAAATTTACAAGCTTCTCTAAATGTTTGAGAGCGTAGATGATAGTGTTTTATCGCGTAAAGATTTAATGTAGTTAGGAAAAACAATTTTATTGCATTTATTTAGAGTTAGAGTACAATAAGTGTTCATGGGTAATGTTGCTGCTGTTGATAATATTGATGCGGATAGGAACTTTGTGATAATAACGGATGACTAGTAAGGTGGGTTGGATAGCGAAACGGCATTAAAGATGGATGGCATTGCTGCTGTTGTTGAGCTATTAAACAAACTTCATGTTTCCTTGGATTGTAATGATAGATTAATTTGTTGATTAAACGTAGAGTTTGTCGCCTTTCTAAATCCATTAAGCAGACGGTATTGCGTTTAATAACGCTCTTCAAGATTAATAAGTACTTATACTTGATAGGATAATCATTATGAAAGTGGCAATCTAAATAACTTACTAAACGTTCTTCTTGTTGTTCAAGGCGCGTAAAATCGATAAAAAATCGACTACACATATAACGTGCCATAGCGCCCATTTGTAATTCTGATTCTGGCTTGTAGCCTTGTAATAATAGAGAACAATATTTTAATAAACCGCCACCGCGTATCTCTTCAGGCTTTTTTGTGGCGATAATTTTCTTATGTAAATGTTCAGTAGCAAGATCAAAATCGCCGTATAAGCACTCGGCTATAACTGTTGGATAAAAATTACTACTCATATATTGGCTATCAATTAATGTTAATTTGTAATCATATAAGGAAAGGATAGAATCTAATAAAATTTGAAATGAGTCGACCGAAAATTGAAACTGACGTTCTATGGTATCTACAAATTTAAATTCAACATTTCGACCGTAATAATTACGAAACGATATCAATGACCAACGATTAGCACCATTGAAAACTTTGACTAATTTAATCAGATATGCTTTTTTCAGCATGTAATACTGGAAACCATTTCGAACTATTGAATCCGGTAGATATTCAAGTAAAGTTCTCAATACTGTAGTTAAGATAACTTGTGCCTGGCTGTCATCGCTCATATCCACGTTGAAGACTAAATCAATGTCGTTGTAATGAGGTTTAATAGCAGGTCGTAGTTGTTGCTGTTGGTGATGATGTTGATACTGAGAGTTGTTTTTATAATAGTGATGTTGATTTAAGATATAACTAGCTGTACCGCCATTTAAACGTATATTTCGCACATTAACATTATCTTTTCTTAAGTTATTTCTAACTTTTCGCAATAATTCTTTTAATGGGATTTGTAAAGTAGGTAAGTTACCGTAACCATGAATTTCAACACATGTCTCTAATAGTTCAACCAATTTACCAACTTGGCCATAATTTAGCGTTTGTAAATGTTGATTATGACTTTCAGGCATGTTATGATGAAATTAATAGCCGGCCAAAAAATAGATGATAATATTATCGTCGTTTTTTTAGCTTTTTATTCGTGAAAGAACCAATAAATTGAGAGTACTTATCAGAGAGGATAGAACGACGATATCGACGATCAATTGCTTTGCTACTGTTCTCTTTTCGTTTACAATTACTGACTTGAGATGTGTGAAATTCACTGTCGCTTTTCCTTCAATACTTTCAATTAAACTATTGTCGTTGATCCTCTTTTCTTATTACAAAGTTTATATTCTATTTCAATATTCTGTGTTTCTTAAACTCTCTGTTTCAAATGCTGTTTTATATTCTTGATCAATAATCGATTAGATTTCTTTATAGAAGAGAAATAAGAAAAAATTTTGTAAGCATTTCCTAGGTACGGCTAATAAATAAGATATGCGTATAAACCATGTATGTCAATATGAAACTAAATAGGCTGACGATGTATAAGATATACATACAATGCAATTTATTACAGACTCACACACGTAAATTGTATGAATAAAGACTGTCCTAATTTTACAATATACACAACACATTACTAGTAGTTCAGCTGCTATAATTTATCATATATAACATACAATACTTTACTAAGGCATATAAAAATTTTTGAATCGGCCATTAATTATAAAAGTAAGCCGTACTCGAAAGCATTCAGTAAAAAAAACTAGCACGCTTGGCAAAGTTAAAATTGAAAATACTAGGAAAGAGAAGATTCAAATAAAATTCTCAATTTCAATTTCAACCTATTACGACATTATGATAAATTTTCTTACCTTTTAGATTTAAATCACAAGCCTCAAAAATGCTTGCTAATCGAAGAAGTCGCCCCACTCGAAGCAAAATTGAATGGATAGGATAAATATAATTGATTAGGATTATTATTCTATCACAAAATTGTGGCGCTATTCAGCACCAACCGCCAGGACAGTAAATCTTGAAAGAAAGAAAAATCCTTATGGCTTATAATGAGTGAAGTAGCTTTATGATTAATCAGTTATTTTTACTTGCTAGTATCTCAAAGAAATTCTAAAAGGTACCTTTTATGAATTAATTTTAATTTCTCGCCTTGCTCTGGTACATCAAGTGCCTAAATCGTACCGATTTTGCTGCCGATCTATTGACGCAATTTTGTAAATGAAATAGAAGTTACAAAAATGGGTATCTACTAGGTATTAACGAAATGGTCATAGACTAAATTGCCAAGTTGAATGAATGAAGTTCCACTACAAGGAGTGAAAAGGAAGTATTGATTGCTAAATATTAAGTCAACGAATTGATAAATGGCCTTGTGAAAAATTTAACAGAAGATTTAAGTTTTTTTTACCTTCTTATCAATATACTTGTTCCGAACTATTCCGATAGCGTGATAAATTTTTTGGTTATGATTGAAATAAGTTTTTATGATAGGTATAGATCCATGTGAAAAGTTAGAAATGAATCAACGTTATTTTTATCTCTCGATATCTTTCAATGAACTAGATACAAGTGCTAGGCTCGAATATGTATGGTACACTAGAAGAAATCGTCATAAATAATAAGAAGGAAAGTGTACAAATTGATCAATAGCAACTAGACTAGTTGAATGATTGAATGAAAAAAAAATTAACATTAATCAGTAACGTCTGGATAATTTCATGCAATAGTAGTATATGTATACACTGAGTAATGCATCATATAGAAAAATATTCGAATATCCTCCATTGACATGCATTCCCTTCCCCGCCTCTTTTAAATCAGATTGTATGGTGATGGAGACAGTTGATGGAAGTAGAGAATAAAAGGAATACAATAAAAATTATATTATAAAAGTAAATGAATGCATAGAAAATGATGGCCTTGAATCAGACGCGATGGAAGGAGGTGTGGTGAAAGTTCAATTAATTATGGGAGGATTATTAATATTATTTTCACTTCAATTCATCTGATCTAAATATAAAATCGAGCTAATACGAAATAATAAATGATGCTTAATGGCCATAGTACTCAATGTATTGTTGTAGTCGTTATGTTGTCTAATTTTAGTCCAATAAAATAGCCATCAAGATATTGTATATTTTTCATTGAAAAGCAAAAGGATAGAGTAGACGATACTATATCAATACACAATCAATTTCAATACTCTCTTTCTTTACATTTTAGTAAGTAAATCGATCAATACCGAAATTCAATCTTGGTGGTACTTGTATATCTAGGCTATAATACTAACTACTGTACGTTTAGTACTTGTGCAGTATTAACAAATGCACCTCCATCATAACTACTAAAAAATAACCAAATAATATGGAATAACCTATGGACAAAATAGAAGAATGATATTACTTTTTCGATGATCGATTACTAGCATTAAAAATAGACTAAAATTAAAAATCACTATCGTACAAGGATAAAATCTCCATTTGCAATTGAACAAACAGATTTTAATAATGCTGACCTTTACCATTATTCATTAATACATCATGCCATCGTTTTCAATGATATTGCTCTGGTAAATTCAATATGTTGTCAACTTAAAAGTATTGAATATCTAGTAGAGGAATTTTGATCTTTGTTGAATATATACTATTCTTTACGTGTTCCGGTCTATAATGATATTTTATTTTAGAAATATCGTCAATATTATTGATCGATGTGTTGTTAGAGCATATCAGAAAGTATGAAATTTTTAATGTTAACAACAACAATGACATCTCTACATCTTAACTGTATCGTGCAATAAATAAAAGGTGGAATGTCGTTAGTAGCTTAAAATATATTCTATCAAAATTATATTCATTTTGTCTTTTCAAAGTATTTTTTTTTGTTCTAGGAGAAATACCAACACGTCATATCAAACTTGAAATTTTATTACATATAGAATGAATGAATAAAACGTGATTCGAATAACAGTTATATGCATGCATTTTGATTGATATTGACGATCATCTTATACCGTTCATAGCAGAAAAAGTTAATAATGATTAAAAGATAGAATAAGAAGGGAAGGAAATGAAAATGTGATATCGTATTAATATTCAATTTATGTCAACTTGATATTACAAACAACTAGAAGCCTTGTGTAGTTTTCTAGTATGTACGAACGTTAAGTAAAGAAGAGATTAAAAAACATCATTATTGCGTACTCGTATAGATCAACACAAGGTATATGTATGTATAATTAATCGAGTGACTTGAAAATAGTGAAGGAAACAGATTTTGATAGCGTTATATTTTTATTGCGTAGATTAATTGCCTTGATATAAGTAAAAGTTACGACAAATTTATATACCCTATTATAAATAATACTTTTTATTAATGCGATGTCACATGCTAAATCATTTGCTACAACATAAAAAATCTAACTGTATCAATTTATTACTTAAATATATATCAAAGTAAGATATTTTAAAATTTCTCGAATGTTTCTTCACTTTATCGCATGATGGCAACATACTCTAAGTATAGTATGCGCCGAAAACCTTCTTGAAATTGCTGTAAACTTAGAGGTTATCCTCTTTGACTACCAATGCTTTCAAACTGTCACCTACAATTTTACTCTACTGTAATTTTTCCGTAGAGGTGCTATATAATTAAAAAAATACTGGTAGGAAGAGTGGATCAATTCTATTCTAAATGTAGGACTAATATAAATATGATGGAATTTCGATGATCAATTTTGATTGAACAACATTATCAATTGCACTTATTGAATTTATAGAGCATCCCCTAAGAGCAATTGTATGTGAGGGTATTTATCATCTAGCTTCCTTTAACTAGTACCCTCCCATTTATATCCATTTGCAATTCAATACAGATTTTCTAATCTATTTTATAATATGCTAAATAAAGGCAGAAAAGGGAGTTAATTATTTAATATTTTGGCTAGTTGCTATCAATGAAATATGATTTCAAAATAGCTTATATTGACAAGTCCAAATTCGCAAATAAAAGTAATGTAAAGTATGCTAGCAGATGTTTAGCGTTGGCGGTTGGCGGATATAGTCAAATTTGATTTCTGTTGACAAATAGTAACAATTAACTTTTCTTACCTTGTGTTCGAATCTTGAAATAGATAAATTAAAATCTTTTAGTAGTTATTAGCTTACTAGGTAATAATAATATTTCAATAATTTTACGTGCTACTCTAGTCTACTTTATTCAATAGCATCTATATTTATATAACTGTCAACGTCGTACAATTGATGTACTGTGTTACATACTTAGTAACAGTAGATCAAATTGCTGTCGCAATGGTGCGAGCAATTATTTTTTGTTCTATTTCTGTTGAATCATTCTGAAGTTCAGTGAATAACCAATAAATTGACTATTGCATATAGTACTATATTTAAATTATTAAGTTACTTGTATGATGAATTTTTTTTAAATTGATACGGGAGCTATGTTGACACAATAACTTGTAAAAGTCTTGTGACTTTAACAGTAAATCTTCAAGTCTACACCACAGTAAACCGTATGAGTTTAATAAAATAAAAAAGTGAATATTCCTGTAGATAATCCAAGAAAACATTTAATTACGAGTGATTTGCTTGTTATTTGTGGATCTATATGATTAACAAGATAGAACTGCTAGGCATTTCGAGTTCGGTACAGTAATATTTCAATGTGACACGATAACTTCCATAAATGAATTATCTTCATCTGCCTAAGAATTCGTTATAAGTGTTATGAAAATCTCGCTAGAAATACACAACGCACTTTTAATACCTATTTTAAGATCTAAATTAAGTTTGAACATGATAATTTCGTAGTTGTTAAAGCTAAAAACTGTAGTAAAGACAATGCTAAGTATTTACTTCGTAATTAAACATACTGGTAGCCTTTAAGTGGAGATAATTATAATTTTAATAATATAAAAGTCATATACATAGACTTAAGTAGAACATGAATGATTTTTTTGAATAATTAAATCATTTCAATGATACGGCATTTTCATTTCATTTATTATTAAATATCCAACATGATCCTATAAGTTAATTTTAAGAGTACTATAGACTACAGCAATGCATGTTATATCGGATGCTGCATAGACTTTTAAACTTAAGAAATTCTATCATTAAATGATTTAAAAGCCTAGTTATCTAAGTACAATTTTTCGCTTTAGTGATTCAAACTAGCCTCTACTATAGGTATTCTAAGCCATTTTAGACAATTCTATACTTCAAGCGATCAAATCGGTCTGCTAAAGATATTACGTTACTTGTTCACTTAATGGACGGAACAATCTATGTATTATATCGTTGCGTATTCGTTTGTTGAAGCGATTCGTCTAGTTGTTAACTTTCATTAGGCTAAAGATTCACTAATTCTATTCTATTGCTTTCCAATAGACCGAAATTAATTAACTATTACAAAATAGCCGATGCCGGTAAATATCAATAATTGCTATCTAACAACTCAATTTAAGTTAAAAAATCATTATGATTTTATCAAGATAATTTCATGTAGTAGTAACATATGATGCCTCGTTTATGTATGCGTAAGAAAGAGTAAGGCTATCGCCTATCGTGTACATTTATTAATGAAATACTTGTAATGGATTATGTCTACTAAATCTAACATGGAGTATTTACAATTATTCGAATATTCTTCTTGTCCTGTTTGGTATTATTCGACTGACTGAGCAACCAGGCTAATTTTGATAGGTTGTTTCCTGTTCTTTAAATAACTATTATGATAAATAAAAATAATGATGAAATTAAAATACCTATAATAATATGGTGGTGGGTGTCCCATACCTATTCATGTTCATTAAAGTGAAAAATTACTCATTATCTATTTATAGGAATATAAAAACGCTATATCTAAATATTTTTAAAATACTAGTGCTGATTGGTATTTATATCCTAAATTTGAGTCAGATGTAAATTCTACTATTACGAAACATAGCATACAATTGAAAGTTCGCTATTGCGTAATAATATGATTAGAAAGGCCTTTATTAGAATAAGGCAACGTTTTTTAGAGACATATCTCATTTTAACTGATAACGTTATAAACTTTAATTAAGATATATATTTATACGCTAAGTCGCTATTCTACCATGTGTCGGTTAATGGACTCCGGCGCTAAAACATTATATAATAGGGCTTTATGAAATGTTTTTGTTGATTATTTATTATAATTATGAAAGCTATTGGAAAACAAAAATTAAACATGGTAACATCATTCTCTAAATAAGTTGATACATTGTCGACACCGGAATTGCGATTATATCCAGATAGTGTATCTTATTCTGATGCACTGTATTGCAGCAATAGCGAAGTTACTGCTTGCAACGCTAGCGAAAGATTCCCAAAAGTAGGTTCAAAAGGTTAATCAGTAAGTATTACCGTTCATTGTTCTCTAAGATCAATTAGTAGAAGAAGAATTCGCTTCTTTTCTGCAAATCTTGTATACGCGTATATATCTTTCACCTCATGAGAAAATGTTTGTGCTACTTTAATTATTACAGTGGTTTTCGTAGGCAGCTTGAAATAAAATGTAGTATAGTATTGGATATGTTGAAAATGTTATAAATGTACTGGCAATGCAGCACAATAAAAACTCTATTATATTTCGATTGCCACGATAGATGGGCTTATTGGCTAGTATGCAATGCGGTATGCCGTATATATACGCGTATGTTAAGGATAAAATGGGTCTTACTGTGGATTATATTGTGTTATTATTAAATTCTGATATTATTTCATTACCCGACATTAGTCATCACAAATGGAAAGGAGCGTCACAAAGAAAAAAAAAGCGAATACTATATGATATTTACCTATTTAAGTTCAATAGTTCTAGGACTTGTGATTAGTTGAATTATTTGCTATATGGTATAAAACATTGTATTAGAACTGTACCAACAGTAGTAGGAGTTATTTTAATTAGCAACTCCATGAATTGCTTCCGAATTACGTAATACCCTACTTAGTATTTGCAGTAGTCCTACGGAATACATCATCTTTTCCGATTCGTCTCTTAGTTGATTGTAAGAAGAAAGACAAAATTAATCGTTAGTCATTTCGGGAATAATCAACTGGAGTAGAGATTGAGTTAATGTATTTTAGAGGAAGCTTCCTAGATAGGAGTATATCACTAGTGCATGAGCAACAGAATAAGGTAGCATGATTACAAGTTGTGTATTCAGTCGTTGCTCGAGCGATTAATAGATCACTACAGTATATCATTTATTCTATTTGATGTGCACCTACTATAGTTCTAGTGTTGATATCAATTATCGTCCAATACAGTAAAGAGGACCGTGTTTAGCTACGAGTTAATGGCTTATTCTGGCGAGATTATAACGATATACTCCTCTAATTCGCCTTGCAGAATTGTTACGAACAGTATACTATACACCATAAAGGATTAACCGATCGAATACTACGTTAGCGGATCATTTAAGGCATATTGAAGATATATCGAGAGAGGTAGCATACCCTTTCCCCTTTTTTGTCTATTAATACGAACAGGAATACATATCATCGTGTCCGAAATATAAATTTGCTGTGACTGCGACATTCTGTTGCAAAATTGGGAAAAGCATACCTTTCAAACTTTAATTTATAACTCGACCTCTACTGTATGTAGGAGTGAAATACTGGTAGTATACTCCATCACTGTCCACTTCACTTTCAAATGGAATATTTCTAAGAACGATTTACTTACAATACTATAATATATAGTATTAGAATATGTGAGATTATAGTACTAAAATGATGTTGTTTATGATTATGAAGTTATTGAATTCTAGGTGATTCTTGCGAGTTTCTACATATACTGTGTAGTATAATTTTCCACTATAGTTATGTTGAGCCTTCTATTTCAATCTTAGCGAATGGAGTCGTGAATGAATGCAAGCATAGGTCTCGTACTCTCTGGAGTTGGCATAATCACTTTGACAATCTGTGCAATTTCCTATTTTGAACTCTAGTCCTGTACTATACTGTACAGTATGTCCAGTACTGTACAGGACAGTAAGCAAAGAAATAAGGGTTTACACTACTTCACAGGCCTAGTACCCATACAGTACTCTACAGTACAGCTTGCACAAGTCAAAATAATCTTCAGTCTTGTTCCGATACAAGAAACGCATCCATTAAGGCCGAAGGAATAAGCCACAAAACAGAGTTTACCTCACAGGTCTAGTACGCATACAATACTCTACAGTTTATACATTTGCTTCGTCCTAATGCCCGTAGTCAGTCATCGCTCAGTTTTAGAATCCATATACACCAACCGTGATGTACTCCCTCCATGTTTTCTCTTTAGCAGTTCTTGACCATGTCATGGCAACTAAAGTAGTCCATGATCTTAGCAGTTACTTTTGACTGTACTGTAATAGACTTCTGAACATCTTAGAACATTGCTGTTTGCGATATTAAAATCTCCAGAACATGATCTTACTGCATGCAAAATTTGGAAATAATGTCTGGACACATCTTTCATACAGAACTAAAATATGATGTGTCCAGACTTTCCGGACACCCCAGTACAGTATACAGTATACAGTCTACAGTACATGTACTGTACTGTAAATACTGTAACTATTCCTTCGCTTTAATGTTCTTCCTATGATCACGACAAGACTCCAAACTTGGCCTCCCCTACTGTAGAGCTAACCCTAAAGCTAAAGAAAACTTTGAAGCTAGTAAGCAAAGGTTGAAAATTGAAGCCATAATCAAGCTTGAGTAGCGATCTTGGAAGCTAGTTTGGGAAGGTTTCCTCTTTCAACAAGTATGGCAATGCAAATGCAGATAGATGATAGTGGCGAGGAACCTAGTAGCAAGATTATGGCACCGTCGTCGGTTTCTCCTAGTATCTCAGTTCTACTACATCCTCTTGTGGTGATGAATATTAGCGATCATTTTATGCGATTTCTAGCGCAAGAATCTTCTGAAGATAGCCAAAGTTAGTCAACATTAGAAGTCATTTCTCTGCTATGGAAACAATCGATAAAACCTGAAATCAACTACATTGGTGCATGTAGTTGAAGTCATACGGAGTAAACTCCGATCTAGTCTTGTTCTTTGTCTTGTAGAACAGCGTATTGGCAATTGCACTGCATGTCGCTCTGCCAATGACAAAATGATAACATGACCTATTTAACTTCTGCTTTCATTTTAGCCAGTGATGATTAACGTATACAAGCATGCAACGATAACTATCAGCATCCAACAGCAACATAAGATCGAAAATTTAATCTGTGAACATTATTCTGTAGTTTCTTTGATCGCTCCTTAATTGAAAGTTAAACGAGATCCTACAGTACCGTAGGCATATAAGGATAAATCATCACTCTTCAAGAATTACAATAATCATTTATCGTATTGAATGGAGCGAACTACAATAACTATTATAATGGTGTAGATACATGATTTGTACTGAGCGACATCTTTACGATATTACGTATTGCATAATCATATGCGAAAGTGTTGGGATTATCTAATATTATATATTAACTTTATCGATTTCAAAGTACCGTATAATGTCTCATGCGGGTTGGATTCATTTTGCCTGCTAGACTAAATATTACCATAAAAATAATATTTACTACAGTGTAACGTCTTTAATTATTGTACCATATCCTGATTAACATGAATTCTTCTTTTTCTACTACAAATAGTTATTGGAGCTTTGATTGGTACTCAAAAAGGGCGCACAGTTGAAATTAGTAATTCATACGAATTGGATTGCAATTTTAATACCGGCAAGCCGTTCTTGAACGTTGATTATTTCAAGGATCGTGAGGAAAAGTGTGCGTATATGTATAATAAATTAACCATATAAACCAATTGTATTACTTTATTCCGTTGTTATAATATCAAAAAATGACATTAGGTATATCAATTGTTATATTTTAGTTCGTGAATTAACTGATGAATTCATGTTTATTGGTTGGTACACTATTGGAAGTTCGCCGAATGAGACAGATTTAAATATTCACCAACAAGTTAGTATTATCGTGGTGTACTACATCCTAATCTTTATCATCTTGTACAAGTAAATTCACAGTAGTCTTGTTACCATGGTGCAATGCAGCACTTGGATAGTTGTGCATTTACCACCTCATGAATTGATAAATTGGTCACCAGTCACACCGTGTCGTTGCACGTTATTAATAACATATACCAAAGAAATAAAAATTTTTATACTATTTTTATTTGATGTAACAGTTTTGCCAAATTTATGACAGCCCTCTCTTATTAAAGTTGAATCCGAACTGTAACTATGCTACCAATGTAAGGCTAACTTTATCTTTCGTAGAAAATTATTTTCAAAAATTACTTTAAAAGTAATGGATGAACTTTATCATTTTCTTATATGTAGATATCAGAATGTTGCATTATAATATTATTTATACATTGTTTTAGTTACCTGTGGCAATTTTCGAAACAGTAGTCGATGCTGTGGATAATCAGGTTTGTACGGATTTTAAATTCTTCGAGATAAGTTAGAAAGTAACTACCAGAAAATTTATACTACTGTAATCATACAATTTACACTTTTGTTCCAATTTTATATCGGTACTGAACAACATGTGAGGCCTATGATAAACTCTGAAATCACATAATTTATACCTTTCAATTAATTGTTGTCTTTTTTGAACAAATGTTAGGCTAAAATTTTATTTTTAGAAATACCGTATACATTAGCTACTGAAGACTCGGAGAGAATCGGAGTCGATCATATAGCTAAAACATCATATTCTGAAACGACTAGCACTTCCTCAGGTAAAATTTCTTCATTGACTTTATTGGTCTGCAAACATAATAGACTAAAACTGTAAATAGTTTTGGTGATATAACTGTTTCATTTTATTACAGCTGCTGATAACTTGCTTGCTCAATATAATGCAATTAAGATGTTGCACACACGTGTTAAACTGCTGACGGATTATGTCAAGGCTGTAAGAGCAGGTAATACTGTTAATCTATAAAAATATTGTTCAAGTGACGTGTATGCCTTAATTTTTCAACGTGAATTTTTCTAATGACAAATAGGGAAGCTATCATATAAACATGAAATATTGCGCGACATTTCCAGCATGTGCCAGAGACTACCCATTGCCAAGAGTAAACAATTTACTGTGGAATCTGTAAACGTTAGTAATTTACATGCTGTTGGTAATTAATTACTAGCTTCGACTAAACACTTTACTAATAACCAATTTATCTTTAATTAGCAATACAACGACGTCTTATTAATGGCTTGCTTAGCTGCTATTACGCAAGGTTGCAAAAATAGTGATGAGGTATTTATTTATTATTTATTCAATGTGCATGTGTCTGTATATCTTTTGTAATTTTCAATGGATTAGTCTAAATGTAGGTACACTACATTTTTCTTAATCTATAACCTGCTTGCTTCCTTTTAGTTTATCACTAAAGCAAATGACTTATATGAGGCCTCTGGTCATCGTATGCGTACCTTTTTCTACTGATGCTGGTCACCGAATGTGATTGTTTTTCACATATACAATATTCACTGAAAGAGAGATCTGTTGATATTCTTTAACACCCATCGCATATGTACATCTAATATTATAATTCTTGTCTAAGGGTTGTAATTATATTATAGCTAATAGTAAAACTAATGATGTTACTACAATGTCGTAATGTAACCGCTCTCATCTTTTTTCATAATACTGATCAATGTCATCTATTAAAATTTTCTTCTTAACTTAAAGAAATTACTGTAATGTATAATTTGCGAAGATTCTAGTAGGTTGTGTTTATTTGAATAGTTTGTACTGTAGCTACGTAAAACCAAATGCACCACGATAGGTAAGACATAAATTTTGGTGTAAATATTTGTGAGTGATATTGCTGATAACCATTTCGATGATATGTATAATCAAATTTGATCAATGAAATGACGGCAATAAAGGTCAAACAAACATTCCAGGAAAATTTTTGAAATATTTTTAATAAAGTAATATGTACCATTGTCAAATAATTCACAACAATAAAATAACTCCAACTCCTTTGTCAAGAATTATTAATCTTACATTAAGTTTACGGTGTATACCAGAAACTTTTCGATATAAAAGTAGATCATAGCACCAACATCGCAATTTACTCTTTCTCTATCATGAACTAACTGGATTCTTTGTCGCTTTTTATACATCGGGAGCAAGAACGAACGAAAGTACATTCCGCATTTTACTTCAAATTTCACATTTAAGTAACTAAATCATAAAGTAATCCTGTTGTTCGACTAAAATTTGATATAATTTAGAAATTAAAATTTGAATGAGGGACATTATCTACTGCAAAATTGTATTGCTTTTCCGATTTTTCAGGTTGAACACCTTGGATTTCATTCTCCTGCGAAATAGAACGGAACTGATCACTTTTCTCTTCACAGCATTAACTACCAAAAATTGTTAATTCTAAAGATGGATAATTATTTACAGTCGCGAGGTATTTATCAATTATTTCCGAAGACAGCTTCGAAATTTCAGTATTTTCGCTATTTTGTAGTTCTTCAATTTTTGTCAATCCTAAAGATAAGATAAAATATTATAAAAATTGATTGCTATCGATGTATTATTATTACAATTCACAATAATTTCTAGCAAATTACACTAGTCATTACCTCCACATTCTTCGATAATAATTGTAATGTTTCCTATGTCATTGGGTAAAGCCTATACACAGCACCATAAATACATGACATTCAGATATTAGTAACAGAGTGTCGGAGTCGATTACCAAAATCTACTACTAATCTATCTTATACGTATCTAATATGGCCAACCTTTAAAATATTTAAAATACCATCTAGCAATACATGAACAATTTGAATATCTTTAATTGTCAACATTTCGCACATAGGAGTAATAACACCATCGGCTACCATAAGGCTTATCTAATAACAGACAGGAAATCAATTAATAAGTGAACTTGCTTATCGTGTGAAGCAAAATTTTAATTCCCAGTAACTTACGTGTTCAGCTTCACCATTGACAGCGAGGTTACTAACCGCCCAAGCTGCCTCTTTACGAGTTTGAAAGTCAGCATTTGCTAAGCAGTTAATAATTAAAGGGACTAAACCAGCCTCGATAACCATCTAATTGATTAAAACAATAATTAAAGATTAATAACTATTAAAAAATAACACAAGCAATTAGAAGTTAGTTCAGTTAATTTATTTACGTGTATTTGCTTAGGTATGCCAGCAGTAACATTAGATAAGAACCACATTGCTTCCTAAGTTAGTATAAACGTATTTTCTTAGTCGTAAACAGATTTGATTAACGACTGCACCGTATGCATTATAACAATTATATTTTCAATCTTACCTTTTTAACTTTCTCCTTACTATGAGTTAATAAATTTTGGAAATGATTTAGGGCTCCATTGTCCAGAACAATCTTAGCATTAAAACATCAATGCAATATATAATTAGAAGTGGTTTTAAAAATTATACTCATTAAAAAAAAGAATTTTGAACGGATTCCTAACCTGTGTATGATAATCAGTACCAGTTACTATATTCCCGACTGCACGTAAAGCAGCGGTCTAATAGTTAAATAAAAGTAAAAGTGGTTAATAAAGTTTTTATGCTACTGAATAAATAGCTTCTAAATCATCAAGATAGATCATTACTTGTAATTTAATTTCTTTTGCACCCATAAATCCTATAAGTGTTGGCACGATCGAGGTATTTATTACAGCCTAAAGGAGAATAAGATAATATTTAGATTTACTTAAAAGTTTATCTGTAACCATATTCAGAGTGAGCATGCACTGGTATTTTAATAAATAATCACCATCTTGGAAATGTAGTTAAAATGCGTTAATTACCTGAACTTGCTGTTTACTGCCATCCGTTAAATACGACAGCGCCCAAACACAATCGATTAAAATCTAACAGTATTGCAACATTCATAAATTAGATAACAACAACCGTGTCGAATGCATATTAGCTTTGCTGCCAAAAAAAATTTACAGAATTTGAAAGACAAGAATACAATGTATACACTTACATCTAAATCGTTATGGTGGATTAAAGCAACAAGGGCACCAAGAATCTATATTCAAGACACGTACGCATATATTGCAGTATTTGGATACGGATTCAAGTAAGCAAAATTACGATCAATGAAATCGTTGAAATAAATGTTATATAAATGCTTACTTGTAGAACAATTTCTAATGAAGGGGGAGGATCTTTACTCCGGCATAGATTGACTAAAACCCACGTCACATTACGTAAAAATGACAGCTGAAAAATATCAAAGTTTGGAGTTACGTTAATACCAACAAATGCGTCGCCAACAGAAAGTTTCTTTACACTATATCCCGAAAGACCATATTCCGTATCATGTAATTGTAAGTAAATAACTGATAAATCGACCATTTATTTATGCAAGATGCATATGATTAATATTGATATTACACTTACCGAGACGTTGGGTGAAACGAATTTTAACAGCGGTGTTAGCAGTCCTTGACTAAGAACATAATCTCGTAGTTCCGATCCATCACCTTTTTTAAAGATACAGCATTATATACGTAGTTAATACAACAACCCTTTAAATATAGTTAGTTCAATGGTTGTTATTAGATAGTTTTTTATTACCTATAATATTTCCTAACGCCCATACAGCCTGTTCGCAGACATCGGTGTAAGATGAACTCAATAAGGCAATAAAATGAGGAACAGCACCGAACTGGACTACAGCTCGGGTTTGCTCTGAGGTTCCAGACGCAATATTAGTTAAAGCCCATGCGGCTTCAAATTGTAAAGAAGGCCTTGGATATTTTGTTAAAATTAACAGTTAGATTTAAGAAATGCAGTATTTCACCACTCCTTTGTATACAATTAAATGTACCGTACCCGACATACAAGTATATTTATTAACAACTTTATTACTATTTTTCTAGCTTATTGAAAACGATTGCATTGGATTACAAATTTAGAATATTAAACTATTATGATTGCTTCATAGTACATACGAATCATTTCTCTCTAAGCAGTTGACCAAAGTGGTAACCACGCCGGTACTACGCATAAAGCATAACCGCAGATTAAATGATATAAAACATTTACTTATTACTAGTATCGGACTTAAATTGACAAAATTACTATCAAGATCGAGTACACGGGATATTATTTTTACTATGCAATAATCAATTACTTACTTAACGATATGATCAATTGGAGGTGATTTATCCTTTGATAATAATTTTCTGAAAAAGCATGATACAGACCGAGATCAATGATAAATAAATTCATCCTTAGTAATACTGAGCAGTTATTTGTCTAAATTTGATATTAAAGCTTTCAAAGTGATTTTATACTATCAGTCACATATTGCATGCTTGTTGTAATGCAAGTGTACACAGATATTGGATAACATGGAGCATTTTAAGGTTTATCGTCTACGTGAAGTTTTCACTAACATATGGCTTGCTATAGCGATAACTACTTAAAATACTACAAAAGATATCCTGAATTATCCTTCCGATCCGTTATAAATTTAAATCATAGGTTATCCGGTTATCCGCTCACCTAATCGCTTGAACTGCTTCTAACTGAACATTTGGATCTGAATTCTTTGCACGCTGTAGGTTATAGCACATGTGTAACATATTAATCATACGTAATTACCAAGAAATTACAACTCATGCGTGTTGATCACTACAGTATATATTCTTAACTACCTGTAATTTTATCATTAAATCTCAACTTTAAATATGATTAATACTTATATAATGTGCGCTATTACGAATACCAATAAATCTTATCGTGATTGCTAATTTATGTGAGCTACCACTATAAAAACTCGCACAAGTAGATTAGCACTATATATATATATATATATATATACAGCTTGCGCATAACTTGAATATCAGTTACATAAATTGGCACTAGCTTACAGATAAATATTCTCCCTTTCTAGCCTAGCGAAACGTCTATTTATCAATTTTTAACATGTTACTAACCTGCGCAACATGGGTAATTACCACATTGGTAGCATAGTCCTAAATTATTTTTGAATATATCAATAGCGTTAACATCTACTTGTATATATATAAATTTCAATTCATTTCTGAATTTCACATCGAGGGTCAGCTTCATAACGCGGGAGTAGCCGTTAGCTATGATTTATACTGACTACAATAAACCATACTATTGGCAATCATTTGCTATCTTATTGCAACTATAAGTCATGTTGCGTTACAAAAATGCTCCGCCAACATTTTTTAGCTTGTCAACAACTCTACTATTGTCTAGCGTTATCATAGGTAAAATTTAAATGCAGAAACTACTAATGTTAACCAAAGTATTCGTAATCTATTAGTATCATGGCTTTGCGCTAAAAACATTTAGTTATTCATTAAAAGCATTTAAAACAAGAAACTATATTTGGCTACAGCACATTGATATCAACAGATTAATAGACAGAGATTAAATTAATCAAAGTTACCTCAAGCGCTCTATCATCCTCCTCATCGATTTCATCATCTACGGGTACATTTCGACGCTTTGCAATTTCTTCAGATCTCTTATTCTAAGTTTGTATGTTACAAATGAGAATAAGAATTAATCTTCAATCAGAAAGGATCTCACGAAGATAACTTAGGTGAATACGGCAATGTAATGCAATATCACTGGGTCTAAGCTAAAAACTAGTCTATCAGATGAATAGCATATGCTAAGTCTGTTGATTTATATACTCTTAGAAAAATAACGGTAAATGAATAGTATTATAATAGCTTTGTTTATATGGAATTTTAAGCATTCTAATAAGTTATTTACATATCAGCAATTGCATATAATCACCATCGTAAACTAGCTATAATCGTATAATCTGTTACAAACCTAAATATAGTAAAAAAAAGTTGTCACAAAATAAAGCTACTTTTGAAAGTTATCAATACTAATAATAATTTGGCATCACTACCTTGCGTAATTCTATTTTCACATCGACCCTTCTTCTTCTCAGTTCCTACAGCAGAACAATTGGATAATATACTAAACATGCCATACGTACACTGGTTGTTAGATTATAACAATAATTATTTATTTCTAATTAGTTTGTTGATATCATCTAGCTTCCATCTTCAGCAAAGTTTAATTACGTCATTTTTGCGATTGACCGTATCATGTGCGACATTTTTACAACGGCTTTTTTTCCTTGATAAAGGTTTACATTATCAAGTTTGGGTAAAAATCGATTCTAGCAATCATTCTACTGTAATTGCGTAAAATTATCCTGATGCGAAGATAATTCACTCCCGTAGAATGTGATACAAGGTTCATTTGACTTGCAAAGCATCGCAATAGAATGAAAGGTTTCAATTTAGCCTCAATCACTGTGTTTTAGCATGGTGTGGCCATGGTTTATTTAATGATGTATAGCCAATGTATGGAGGTAGTCCTTTAATAAGTCGTCTATCATCTCCTTTCGGTAGAATTCATCAACCTAGCAAGGTCAAAATCTTTATGAACGATCTGTGCTTTTCTCGCTCAATATAGCACAATCTAGTACAGTATGATTCAGTGCTGTACTATATGCATTGTATGTCAATATAATTATATATATCTATATATATACCGCTGTATCATGGCAGTAGACTATAAGCGTCGACAGTACGACGGCAGACACTGTATCGTCTTGACCAAGTTACCAGGGATGTTGACAGTAGTTTTATAGTGCTGTATCGACTGTATGGGCACTGTGCTGTACAATACTGCGCGATGCAGTAAAACTCTTTTTATATGGCTCTAGCGCGCCGCCAAGTTGGCAACCAGCAGCCTGTAGCTTCACGAAGCTTGGTAAAGTAAAAGACAAAATAGAAACAGGTAGCTCTGTACATTGGACAACTGCTGTATAGCTAATAGAATCATGTTTTGGGAGCTATTGGAAACTGCTAGAAACATATATTTGCGAATTGTGAACGACGGAGAATAATGGATAGAATGTGCATAGAAACAACTACTTGAAGCCTAAAATTGTCGTACTGCATGTGATTGTACAGTAAGCACTACCAGAGACTAACGAAATGGGATATAGTCGCTGGTATTCATTCAATTTATGTTGTACATTCCCTGGATCCACTGAATGCTTATGTACTGTATAGTATAATTAGGTCTCCACAGTGACGGCATATTTACAGTAATAGCCGTAACAGGAGACGATAGCACTATCTGGTGTATCATTACCACCAATTGGAACATATGATTGTAATATACAGTAATCAAAGTCATCTCCATTTAAGCACAGGAGATAAAAGCTACGGCACTCAAGTTGGATCAGATCTCGGAAGTAATGTATATTCTATCGTACTATAGATGGAAATCAGGGAATAATTACAAGATAGCTTCCTTGACGCTACTTGTTCAGCAAGTGTACAGTACTGTACTTGCATCAGCATAGTAATGGCGATGAGCACTGATTTGATTGATAACACAGTGTGCGTGGCCGACGAGAAGTTGAACTTTTGTGGACCGAGCTCTACAACGCAGTATATTATTCTTTTGGAATTGCTGACGTGAATTGACTGCTAAAACTAACGTATCCGCTGACTTATCCTATAACTATATAAACTCGATTATTGCGGTATAGCCACGAATGTATGCTCCATACTGGACTATAAAATGGAGGACAAATTAAGCCGCTGAAAGTGATTTTAAGATTTTTCTTACAAAATGATGATACCACTATTATTCTACAACATCTGCGTTGTATCAGTTCCATGGTGGAACCATGTCCACTACAATTTATGACAGTCTTGTGTAGTCCACTACAATATCAAGCTTGGTGAAATGACTAGTCAAAACGACAAAGCTGGCCGACAAATTGATGCTATTGTACAGCGTAAAATGTCGATTCTTTAGTAGGAGGAAAAGCTACTATGGCTGATCCACTGTATGTACAGTACAATAGAAAATCTACCCATTTTTTTGAATGCATCTAGCGTTGAATTTGTTGATGTTAAGCGTCTTCTTTGAAAGTGGCCAAAAACGTGCCATTTACTACAAGTACTGTAGTTTGATCACTAACCTGTTTATCCTTGCCTTTGTGCTTGTAAGTTTGTATCCGATTACCGCGCGTTCCCGGCTCCATGTCTTTGAACACTGTTCGTACTGCACCGACTAAGGTTACAGTACGCAGTTCAATGATTGAAAGTAAAGATCAGTGTGGCTTTGATAACTTGAACGATATTCCAATGTTGTATTCGAAAAAGGTAGCGAAGCAACCAGTTGATCAATAAGACGACAAGACGACTGCAAAGACAAGTAAAGTAATAACTATACCAGTTGTGATTACCCCTTGCATCTATGGCAAGGTGTTTGCAGCAACTTGAACTTTTTTTTTTAATGAACTCAAGCCTCAAGGTAAATACAGTATTGTACAGAAAAATGATTGCAGAGTTGGAGGGGAAATTTTCAACTTGAGCTGGAGTACGGTAGGTACAGTACAGTATACAGACGGGTGAGAACGTAGTCTGACAGCTGACAGAAAAAAGATTTTGTTTTTGTCCTTTGTCCACAGTCCGAGGTATGGGGTACATTGTACTGTACACTTGTACAGTACAGTAACTTGAACTGTAGTGATGTTTTTACCTACTGTACAGTGTACAGTACTGGACTGTACTGTGTACAGTACAGTACACTGTAATTTCTGGATCCTCGACAGTACAGTACTGTATAAGAAGAGAATTTTCTCCAGTTTTTATGGCCGTAATTGACTGTTAGCAAATGCATGAAATTTTGTGCGTCCCCAATTTGAACAGTTCATTCCGGCTGTCTTGTATTTTAGTTGGTATCCTGCTGCACACTCTGATACTGTGGAATACAGTACAGTATTGCAGACTTTGACTGTCAATATACAGTAGTGTACTGTACACTGATGGTTTTGACGGACAACCATAGAGGTTGAGAAAGCCTGTATTGAAGTCCTATCGATTTTATCCATTTTATTTCAATTACTGCAGAGTACGGTAAATAGTACTGTACGTACTGTACAGTACTGTACTGTACAGTACTGTACTGTACACTGTAGAGCACAGGACAGTAATATTGTACTGTACTGTACTGTACAGTACAATTGTACAGTACATTACAGTACCGTACTGAGTGTACAGTACACTGTACAGTACACTGCACAGTACAGTACTGTGACCGTAACCAGTGTACAGTACAGTACTACGTACCGTACCGCACAGTACTACGTACCGTTCCGTACAGTACTGTACGCACTTTCTCCCGCCAATTTTTGGAAACTGACCAGGGTACCGTACTGTACTGTACTGTATCGTCTGCTACCGGGACGGCCAAACTCATACAGTGCGGTATTACTGTACAGTATGATAACATAGTAGCCCCAGAAAGCCGATGATTGCAGCAAAATGGAAGGAGACTTGCAAGTGGAGGATCAATCAAGCAATCATCAACAATATCAGAAACAGTTCTTTGGATTTAGTACCCCAGAAATGCTTGTAGGTGGTAAGTAGAAGCTAGTAGAGTGGCTATGCATGTACCAATAGGATGGGCAGTATGTTGATTGAGGAGGACCAAAGGAATTGGTTACGTCCAGCCTCAACGCGTTTGTCACTCTAGCTTGCAACATGCGATGACAAACTCTTGTTTTGACAGCATCGTTTTTTATCCTTCCTAGTCACTAATGCTGGAAAATTTTACTCTGAGGAAATGCGCAAGAGTGTTAAGGAACAATTAATCAATAAGGTTTGTAAATAATCTACAACTTCATCGTCTGGACAGTACTTGTAGTCGAAAAGGCTTATTCGCATGGATGCATCATACCTTTTACCTCCACCGATGATGACAAATGAAGTAGCTTAGCTTATACAAGCAGTAACGTAGCCGTAAGATGGTAGTAGTCAATCACACAACCAGTGCTTTCAACTTCCTTGATAGTGTACATGAGATAAAAGAGTGTGGTATATCCATTGAATGATGAAAAATGACCTTGTCTACTTTTATAGGGAATGTCTTCTGAAGATGCCAAACAGGTAAAGCCAAATACTCGTATATGCAACAACATTGGTTGATAGAAACGACTAATGTACTCACTCGAGATGACACAGACAAAAACTGTTATTACAACAGAACTAAAGATAGATGATGCCTATTTGACATAAATCAGAATTATGTATAATGCAACCGAAAGAAAACGTAGTAATGGGTGTATCATTTAAATTACTTGCTTAGTTTTGCCAAGATTTATATCAAGAATTGACGAATAATCTTAGCAAGAATGCCACAGCATTAATGGTACAGTATCAAAATCACCAACTACAATGATTGTCTTATATCACAACCAGTAACGAGCTAAAGAGACTCGTGATAAACCTTCTTTCTATTGTTCTACTCTATTGATCAAATAGCAATATCTACCAGCAAATGTATTCCATATTCCTGATGATATCTTACTACCTGAAGATGAGGTTAAAGTACACTGGATCGACTTGATATATATTGAATTGCACTCAATTAGACAGCGATGACTAATAAAATAATCATTGTAGGTGCAAATTAACCAGTATACCGAACAAGAAGAAGAAAAACTGGATCATGAAATCGATTTGGTATGCCAAGAAATTAGAAAGGTAACTTATATTCAATAGACTGCTTAATCAATGGCCCTAAACTTATGCAGCTGTATAACCTGCAAACCATACAACATCCTCATGATATTGAAATCATAACACAGTGATATTTATTATTTAGTTACAGTACATGAAAGCAAAGGCACACCAGGAATCGCAACGGCTTTCTGAAACAACACAAACAAAGGTTTTATTCCATTACTAGATATAAGCTTCAGTATTGTAGTTATCTTTAGATACAGCAAGGGTAACTTTTAGTATTATCTACTTCAATCAACTAAGCTGAAATGGAGCAGTTATTATCGTTTAGAGTTTTCACCAGTTTATAAATTCTTTATCGTAAACACCATGTATATCGATTCCAGATTTTATATAAAGCTTATCAGTAATATGCTGTTTACTACTGTGAAGAATAATCTCAATAGAATTGAAAGTCATACTCCTTTTTTTTTTAACATAATACAACAGTTCTTGTATTGATTTAAACTGTAGGTGAAAAAGATCACCTCTGAAATAAGAAGAATGGAAGAGCTGATAAAACAGATAGATAGTACGTCAAGTTGCACGTTTTCAGTAACAATTTTAAAATCAATCGATTTACCTTGTGATTTATTTGTGATACCCTAGATGATGCTGCTAAAGTGAACAGTTTAAAAGAAGAAGTAGTTCTTCAATTGAAAGGACTAAATCAAGATAAAATTCAATAAAAATAATGTATAAAAGATGGCTTTTCCGTTAAAGCAACATTCTTAATTGGATATGGTTGGTTTTATCAATGGCTACATTTCTTCATATATTAGTAGCCTTATAATTCTGGATCCAAATGTAGTCCTCCAGTTAAAGGGCAATGATGACTGTAATTACTGTACACCTCGCTTATTGGATATATTGTTGTATTACTTTATCCAATTAAAGAGACAACAATACAGTAAGATACAAGACATGTACACCACATGAAACTATATATCATGATATCCATTTGTAAATAAATCAAACACAATGTCATTTAGGTTATTTACATAAAACATTTATTTGTAGCTGCTAGTAGTATTCTTATAAACAGGTGCAAGCTCGATTTTGGATTGATGTTGTCATCTGGTATAAGGGTATGACGTGCTTAATACACTGCAATGGGTTAAATTTTCTATAGGAATTAAAAATACTATATCAACTCAGATTAATTTAGAATGTCACTGAAAACAACGATGAACTGTATTTATTGTAATATTTATGAATTAATATGAGCATTAAATTTTCAATAAAATCACTTTTCTGTGTCTATTATTATATACATGTCTTCGATATTTCGTCGTATACAGTAGAAGACGTTTGTAAATTATCGTTAGCATGCTCTGCGTTTTATACAGAGTAGATGATAAGTGAATAGTATAAACATTGAAATTATTACATGCCCATCATTTCAAATTAGGATATTGAATATTCAGTCGTACGAGCAAATAATATACAATTTGTTGATCATAAAATGACATACCGATTAATTTAAAGCTAGCTGAAATGATCGTGTACGTCAATTTTTCTTCCATCAGTCATTTATTGGACTATCGATAACCTTGGATTTCATTAGAATTCATTTAGGATATGATTATGATATGTACATCTCTTAAGATTTATGAACAGATTGTATAATTACAATAACAATATCATAAACAACTGCAAATAAGAAATAAAAGGCCATCAAAAAGTGTAATATATACAGAATTTTCCCCATCGGACAAGGCGTCTTTAAATTGCTAAAGAAGAATAAAGATAATCTGCTTATTAATTATCTGAAATTAATGCTTTAAAATGTTGTAATATCCTAATCATAATCAACCTGCTAGCATGCCGCCTAGCCTTGTAGATCATCATAGGTATGAACAATCCAGCTTGTAAATTGATAAAAAATGATCCTACAGAACTTAGGATTGCTATAAATGCCTGATAGATTATAAAAGGTAATTATACATACGGGTATATCGTTGCACGGTAAGTAATTTATTTGTGCAGGCTAGTAATATAAAACGATATATATATTACCTTTGGATTAAACATTGCAACTATAAAAGCGATGCCAAATGTAAGGATATAGACTAGAATTTTAGTAATCCTAGAGTAGGGTGATGAAAGATTTAAATAAAAAGACTTTCATAATTATAATATGGGTAATAAAGTATACTTAAGCCGACTAGTTTTAGTATTATCGCTAATTGATATTGATAAAATTGTGGTTATTGGAAATTTAAGAGCGTATGATACTGAGTAAAATAAACTTATAATTGTTTTACCATAGCCAATTTTTTTCCGTAGTAGTGCGAACCCCATCTTCTACTTGGGCAGCTGCCTCCTCAGACATTCTCGCTTTAAAGTAATTCCAGATTGTATCTAACGTTCCACACACTGAAAAAGTGCCAAAGCAAGATAGTAAGTTTAATACAATTTTTACCTAATTAATTTTAATCTAAAATAGTAGCTAATAGCATAAGGTTATTTCTCACATGTGTGCCTTAAAGCTGATCCTAAAGTTAAAAATGAGACGGTGATACTGATAACGATAAAGATTTCAACCAAACTAGCAATCCAATCGTACTTCGGATAATGCTGTCGAAGAATCTATATATGGTAGATTTTATTTTTTCTTAAAGTGATCACAGCAGATAAATATTTCGTAATTACAATTTTACCTCAGTTAATGGAACAGTCGATATTTTACCGTTTCTTTCTGCCCTAAATAGCGCAAAAAATCGAAACTTTAACCTTACTACTACGACGCAATAATACTGTTATTCGCAGGCGACGAAATGATTTACTGGAAGATATCAAAATTTCACCACTATGTACCATGCTAAGGAAATGTTGCAGTGTCCTGCTAAGGTCGTATTCTGGTTATCGGGTTGCATTATAGTTGGCTGGATATCAACACATCGTTGAGGAACAACCCCAAGCACAGCATACGACCTATAAAGCGATATTCAAGATCCTTATATTGCTGTATAGCTAGTTGGTATTTGTAATGTATTAGGAAGAGAAGCAGCTAAGTCGAATAAATTTAAGTACGGTAGTTTACTATTCGATCAGACATAGCACAACGGAACTGATAAGAGACAAGATAAAAATTGTAGTAGAGTAATCAGCTTAAGTAGCTTATTTACATCATAAAATGCACATTATCAACTACGCTATAAATGCTATTCATTTTATAAAGCCATATTACAGTTACATTAGCTCTCACTACTGATATTCAAGTCTGTTCATGAACGATATATCGTATACTGTATTGTTATGGCAATATAACTAAATAGTTCTGATAGAATTATCCATACCAAAGGAGATTCAAGATCACCACCGTCCCTAACGCACTTATTATGGCTGTATTAAATAGGACTACCTGCAAATTTAAGATTGACTGATATTAAGTATGATCATAATATTTTGCATAGAAAGAAGTTAATATATAGCTTGCTCCTCTATTTCTTAAAAAGATATAATGTCAAAGCTCGTAAAGTATTTTGAGTTAAAAGTTTAATGATATCAAAATTACTGTATTGCGAAATATATACAAATCTTAAATGTTAGAAAAGATCTGATACTTATTTATATGTATCCAACTATCAAGCCTAGCTTTGAAAAAAACTATACAATAGCAATATAATTACTCGATGGAAAGATATTGTTAAAAAAATGTAATAATTGCGAAATTTAAAAGCTGTTTATAATAATTCCGTTTATACAATATCATAATCGCTTTGAGATGAATTATAAGAAGACACTAAAGTAATCAAGATCGAACTTACTTGCATACCGTATTAAAATGATATATGAATATCAATTCCGTAGCCCAAAAAAATAGCGACACAATTTTACGTACCTCTCGGGTATTGAAGCGGATTCTAGCAAAAAGCATGGGCATGATCAAAATGATACCACCTTTTTAAAATAGAAATTGAAAATTTTCGATATATCAGAAAAAGCTAAAAATAAGTTCGCAGTTGTTGATGGTACGAATTTTAGGCTTAATAATTGTATAGCAAACTATATGTCCATCATAACTTTACGGCAATCCATTAAATTCATTTACTGGATCTATCCATTGAATAAGTATGCTTAATAGAATCATGACCATTCTATGATATCTCTAAAGTAGCGTAACTTAGGCTAAAATAACGACATAGTAGTTATACCGAGGGAAACTGTTGTCATTAGAAAAGACGAGCCAACATAGCTCCAGTTGTTGTGTATTGGGAGATCAATTTTTAAGCCAACATAAAAAGTAACCGATACCTGTTGATCAACAATATCAATATCCTATTAGAAATACCGTTTGAAATGTTAACAAATTATGGCCAATTTAATAATCTTTGCTTATATGTATCTATTTGGTTTATAAGTATTATAATATCGAAGTAAAGTAACTAATTAGGAATTATTAATATTTCTGATCAATCTTAATCGAAGTTAACTTAATAATTATAGTACGACGGATGATACAATTGGCGTGATTTGACGCCTTATAAAAATAACCTATCGTACAATATTCGAGTAAATTGATCTAATCCATTCATGATATATTATAATCAAATTTTAGGGATAAATGCAAAGCGTATCAGAAGATCTCACCGTAACTACTAAGGCAATACATTTAACGATTGTTAAAACAGAGACAAAAGGCTGAACAATTTTTCGAAGGAAAATGATAACAGCGGCCCAACTCCATACAAAGATGGATATCATCACTGGTAATCTAATCAAGTAGTAAGAAGATAGTATTAAAAGAGGAGTTAATGACAACAGTAACCGTTAATAGGAATAAATTTTATATCTGATTACTTGTTATAAGTATTAAATTAGTCACAAATCAGAACTGTAGGTATGATATAATCTTACGGTAGTTCAGTTATCTCTGAATAGGCCTGACCACCGGCTAATGCAAAGCTGATCAAGATAGATAAACTGAAATATCGTAACAAGAAAAATGAGATAGGGATTACTAAATGAAGGTTGCTCGTTTGTATATCTGTGCTGAGTTTCCTATTATAGTTTTATTCTTTCCGATTTAGGAGTAGTACTATCTATCATTCTATTACTATACTACTAAATTTAGATTAATTATAGATAGAAATGATAACTGCTGATTTAATAAGTACGGCGAAGACTATAAATAACTCTAACGTACAATGTTGCAATGACTAGAATATCAAACAGTTGATAAGCTCCAAAGGGTAGAAAAAGTTTGGAAATGGTATGTAGGCTAATTTCATCATCTTGTGTTTCGTCTTGATCTTTATCTTGCACCATTAAATCCTTTAATTCTGCAAGCTTATGCTCGATGATAGCTAAAGCTTCAGTATTATTCGTTTCCGAGGTTAAAGGCGTTGAATCATCTTCAATACAAACAAACTGAGACAAGTAGAAATATCTTGTTATCCAATGGTAATATTCTAATTTCATTACTAGCCTGGTTCAGTAGGCAGATATCTGCTATAATAGATGATTAATTTATTCCACTAAACCGTAAATTTAGGATATCTAAAAGTATAAACCTACATCCTCAAATTGATTGGCTTCGTGGATTTTAATCGCTGATGCTTGTTGTAAAAGTGTAGTAAAGCATAAAACCAAAATTGACTAAAATTAAAGACTATAATTAATGCCAACTTTCCGCACAAAAATTTTGCATTCGTTTTAAAAGGATAAGAAAATAATTCTATACAGTTAGTTCATTTATTTTATCAAAGCAATGCTAACTTGCCGAAGAAATAATTTACGCTTCTTATTTCGATATATAGCAAATATCGATATAGTAATAGCATACATTTACTAATACCTGTGCAAAGAAGCTGATAATAAGATTTAAGATCAAAGGTTGCATGCCAGAATGAGACAATGTTACAGGCAGACCTAATAATCAAGAGATATTCATCAATAATGATGTACATTGAAAGGTACGCTATATGGAAGCTTTTGCCCTCCCCCAAAAATGAATGAAGTAAAAAGGATACTTGATTATTTGATATCTTGCTGGTTGCTGGTTACTTTAGCCGCAGTGATTAATTACTTACCGAGAATACCAATACCCAAAATAGCCGCAATACTGACAAAATCTAAAATGAAAAAATTGCCCATATCAGTAAAGAATCAAACGATCAATGATATCAGGGCTAAATAAGATCTCTATTACTGCAGATTCTCTCTATCGTAGTTTATTAAGTAAATATCATCCTCTACGTTTACGATTGATAATTTTTATCTATGAGATTTTTCTCCTGTTCATTATACTGACATGCTTGTAAGAAAACGGTCCAATGCCATCGATCGTAACGATTTTTACTTGATTCACTAGTATAGGATGTATTACTATAGCTGGATTGTCTTGAAGCGTCCATGATACGATGATGGAAATTAGCCTTCCTTCCTTACCCAAACAAGAATTCAGCCTTACTTTACCGAATAATATTGCTAGCAAATTAAATTGAAATTTTACCTTTAGTATCGGATATATACAGTATATATGTGACGGAGATTGTGGGCTAGATTGGTAAACCGTAAATTAACATCTGCTACCCTCCAACGTCAGTATTGTACAGTACGATGTTCTGCGGGCGGTCGAAGATCAACATTGTAAATATTGAAAGCCAAGAATAGTAACTGCATGATGTACCAACATACCTTGCTTCACTAATAACTTGACATCTGCACGTTCTCTCAAAAGTTAACTTACCAGTTCAAGGATAACGTTCTGGAACTGATTTTAATGTCCTTCATTAGAGTGCATGTCCGATTAATTATTAGTTTATTGCATATTAAAGGGCTTGCTTGCCGGTATGAACTAAATCATTGATCCCACCAGATCAGACATCCGACACATTTTCATAATATTACCTAAAATATAGGATCTAAGGGTAAGGCTTAGCGGGATTATTATTTCAATTAGGGTAGTAATTAATATTCCGTTGAAGCTATAGGATCACCATCACCGTTTCGTAAGGAATGGATGCCGTAAACTGCGATACTATTCTTACGGCCAGTAGATCCGTAGTATAGCTCTAATTATTTCTTCATTGGATCATTTAAAATAGCATTAATAATATCAACGTAACTGCACCACTATTGAATGAATGCTGTCCTCTTCTCACTTTATTCCATTTACTATTTTTAATTACTTCTACACGTAAACTAGCACACCTTCTTAATGGAGTAACATCGTCGTCAATTTTTAAAATCTTTACTGAACTGCTCCTACAATTAATTAATTAATTGTAGCTCTGCTGTATATCGCCTTTATTACTTTATCTTTTTTACCACTTACAAGTATTGTAATGGAGCCAATATCTCCGTTAATTGAATGTTATCGTCTTCTATCTAGCCCAAGGAATCATTTCACAAAGTATCTTCGCTATTGGCTTGTAAGACCGTCGTCACCCCTAAAAAGACAATACAGCCGCTCTTACTACAACCATTAATTACTTGTATATACTGTATATCCACGAAACATTGCTATATTCTTTAATAATATCTTCTTATCACTTAGAAGTGTTTAACAATATTATTGCTTCTATCGCCTGAATATTACTCCTTCGATATAGTACTACTAATCGTCTTAAACTATCTTGCGAAAGTAACACACTTTGTTATGGGCTCTGAACCCTCGATAACATGAAGATCTTGATTACATGTGATCAAATCAATGACATAAATCATAGCTATGTTTGATGAAACTCTATCAAATGTTTTACTTTTATTTTTCCAATCAATTTTTTCAATGTTTAGCACAAAACCAAGTCAAATTTATGTGCATAATCCACTTATGCGATAGAATCAGGTCATGATTAATTTTCGAAACAGTACAAATAAAACTTCATTCTAATATAAAGTTAACATGATTAAAAATATTCTTTTACGCCTGTTAGTATTCTTCTTATTATAAAACAGACGTAAAATGCTCGATGATATAAATGTTATCAAATGACTTGGAAATCAAAATTTTCTTCAAATTTATGGATTGCAAAAGAAATATATGATAAATTCCGTACTACTGCTATAATTATAAATTCTAGCCCGGCATAAAGTTAGTTGCCGTTATATACCTCAACATCAAGAAACAATTGTACAAATTTTAGAATTTTACAACAATCTTGTGATTGCAATGTGTAAGAATTAAATTCTCATGTATAAAAGTGGTTTAAATACTTGTATTTAATGAGCCATATATGCTCATAAAGATTGTTTAGCGTATGATAGACTACATGGTTCTATGCATCAAATTGCTGAGAACTTCTTGATTCAGTAGTATTAATTAACTTTAATTAGTAAATTGATTTGATCGTATTTCGACATAGTAAAATATCAATACATTATAAATATATAATCAACATATATCTATAAGGATTAATGTACATCATATACACACAATTTAAAATTATATATTGGTTAGACTACGCTGAGGAAGTTAATTCTTCGGTCAATAAATCTTTTATTACAGATTCACTTTGAATATTCACAGCCAACTTATAATCCTCTAGAGCTTCTTCTTTTCTCGATTGCTTGCCTTTAACATAGGCACGTCTTTTTAGAACTATGGCATCTTGAGGCTTTAACTTTAAGGCTGTAAATAATAATGTATAACCATGATTTAATATTGTAAGAAACATACTTACATAAATCGTCTATATATTCAAGATAAAATATCCTACCAATGCCATAATCATTCTCTGCTTCCCCATATCGTCCCATTATTGCAAGTAAGTTTCCTCGATTAAAGTAAGCATGAGCTCCATACGGGTAAATATCAACTGATACATGAATGAATATATTTATTAATGTAATTGTTATGAGACTTTGTAAATAATCAAGAAACAATGTCCTACTTGTTTTATTAAAATCTTCCAAGGCACCTTCGTAATCTTTCATCATAATCTAGAATTGATAAAAAGAAATAAATTTTGAGAATTAAAGCAAGATCGGTATAAACTTTTATCTGACTTACAAATATCCTTCTTGATCACTTTAAAAGCATTAATTACAAGTGAATCAGGAATTAGCTTACCTTAGCAACACCTCTATTATGAAGAGCTGACTCATCATTTGCATCAAATTCTAAGGCTTTGTCATAGTACATTAGAGCCTAATAAGTAATAAGTATAATTATCATATGACTAACATTTCCAAACTTAATAAAATATTGCAGTCATCAAACTATAAGAAGCACCTTAATTCAGTCAATATAAATCCTTTAATAAAGTAATTTTAAAGACTTACTTGTTGGAATCGGCGTTGAATAAAATATAAATTGGCTGCGTTAAAGTAGGCTAGGCTATAAGTCGGAGTCAAAGCTATAGCAGTTTGATAATCTCTCATAGCATTTACAACATCATTCCGAAACTGTAAAGAAGAATTAACCAGAAATATGTTAAAAGGGAGCCTTAAAATATAAGGATATAGTGAAAATAGTGTTGTAGTAATATTTACTTCTAATCCAGATGTACTGATCATCCTACTTACTAGATGAATTACTCCACGGTTAGTATAAAGTTCTGCTGTCTGCTTAATCTGTAAACATAGCAGCAGTCATAGTCCGACGATATAAAATGGAGAAATAATTTATCATTATTTTTTACTTTATTCGAAGATTTTTTAAAAAATTAATAGCGAAATAAATGCAATGGTGCAAGATTTATTGCCTAACCTTAATTGCTTGATTAATATCAGTCAAGGCTGCAAATGTATTGCTCATTTGTAAATTAACTACTGCTCTTCCTTCAAGGGCACTTATGCACTCTAAATGTAAAGAAGATGTTGATAACACTATTATAACATCATAGACCTAATAATAAGAGCCATTCAATTATTCCTCCCATGTCCTTCGGTATCAACAAAGCGAAATAAATCTAATTGGAATCAGTAGGCAGGTATTTTTCTTACCTTTATCTATATTAAGAGCGATCGTAAATTGATTCCAAGCAAGCTTGAAATGGCCATCGACCTGAAATAGTAGTCATAATTGTTAGTAATCAAGTTTTAAAGTAATATCTTGACCAAGTATATGACAAACGCCGAACAATCAAGAAATTAATTATCACCTGCAAACTATAAGCTAAGTTAAGACGTGCAGGTAAGTAGAAAGGGCTCAAACGTAAAGCTTTCCCATAATCCCTCCTTAAAATTTCCAAAAAGTTATCAACAATAGATTGTGAGATGTAAGAACCTTTATCAATGATCATACAGTAAATAGTTTATTACACGCCTATGAGTACATTACCTGCTGATAGCATTGTGATTCAAGGTAACATAATCCATCATTACATTTCCTCGACCAAGGTAAGCATCGAGAAAGAACGGATCTATAGCTAACGCAGCATTGAATGCATAAATTGCATCTTCATAGTATTGAAGGCTAATCCATTAAATAAAATCATTATCAGTTTGATAAAATAAAGTCTAAATTATTCAGTATTAGCTGCATAGTAATTCCACTCAATAACATCTCTACTCACTGATGATAACAACGACCGATGGTGTGGATGATTTTGACATCTTTTGGATTTTCCTGAAAGACGTAATAAAATGTATTAATTTCATGATTGCTGTAACAACAAATCTTATTCAGCTTTTACTTCATTACCTTAAAGCATAATAGTGTATCTAACAAGGCGTTTTCGTAGTCGCCAATTTCAAAATAAAGTAAACTGCGATTTTGCAAAACCTATCAAAGATAACGTTGATAATTATAATCGTATCAATAATATTTAACAATAAGTAAACAACGTAAGCAGGCACAAGTATAGTATCTTGGTATCTTTACCTTTTGATCTTCATCATTGTCGAGTAATTGAACAACTCCATAGTCCTGCAAAGCCTATATAGGAACGATGTTGACCATACGATTATATATTTAATTATAGTCCTCCGCCAGAGATTTAATTATCGCGATTAACGTACTCAATATTATTAATTTATTACTTAAATAAATAAACAAATAAATAAGATTAGCAACTTCTCATCATCGTACTTTATGATATTCTTTTAACTTCTGGTAGCAAAGTGCACGATTAAAATAAGCTAAAACGCATGTATGATCTATTGCAATGGCTTTAGTTAAATCTTTGGCAGCAAAGTTATAGGCTTTAATCAAGTACTTAAGTGCTCCACTATACATATAGGAACGGATAATAACGGCAAAAGATTAGTTTTAATTGAGAACAAAACAAGAAAATGTTATTCATTCAATTACCGATATAAATAAGCTCTTAAGCTATTAGGTTGCACTTCTATCGCTTCATTACAATTGAGGATAGCCTTATTATAACGGCCTTTCATTCCAAAATAAGCTGCACGACTTAGATATGCCTAGATTAGAGCGTTAGAAATTAATAGAATTTCCTTTTCTTTTCAATAAAATTATCAACCGTGCTTTAAAAGTGCACTAGATTAAATACCGCATAAATTATGTTTATACTTTCTCTCTTATCAACGCTGACCCAAAAAATGTTGAAATTAATACTATAATAGATCATAGCAATCATTTCTGATTATACCTGGAAAAAATTGGATTTGATAGCTAAAGCTCTGTTAATATCCTGTATAGCTCTAGGATGTTTTAATTTGATTCTAGTAAGCCCACGATGATAGTATGCCTACAAATCAAGATAAAATGTCTTACATAAAGTATGATTTAATAAAACAAGTAGCCTAAGAAAACGCAATCACCTGATAATGTTGAGGATCAACTTTGATAGCGCTAGTTAGAGCATCGACCGAATGTTTATACATTTTAAATTCATTATAACTTAAACCGATCAAATAGAATGCTTCAGCAGCTTCACGTGGCATGTCAATCAATTTAGTAACATTCCAAGGTGTCTAAATAATGTTAAGTTATTATAAAAGACGGTAATAGACATATAATCACAATAGATTGTATCAGCATTACCATAAGTTTGACAGCTTCCTTGAAATGATCAATAGCGACGTTGAAAAGTTTGGCTTTCATGCTAACTTTGCCAAGTAATAAATATAATGGTGCGACAGGCTGAGCTCGAATTGCACGATTTAAAGCTTGAATTGACTGTAAATACATAGCATAAATTGACGAATAAACCTTTAAAATACTCTAAAAATAAGTTAGTATTTATGATAATCGAGATTAGAAATATTACCTCGGTATATTCACCCAAGAATGAATAAACAGCAGCTTGTTGGGTGATTGATAAATCAACACCTTGGTTGAGATTGAATGCAAATCTACGATAGATGATTATAGTATAAATTCTACCGCACGATTACAAAATTGGCATTAAAACTTTTACTTGAGAACATAGCTCTTACCTTATATGTTGCCCTGCGAGATCAAGCTCACCCATCTGAAGTAGTAGTTTACCCTAGCAAGGTTAGACGAAAAAGTAATATAAGATGACTGTAAATAATAATCACAACAGTATATAGAATTAATGACTTACTCGATATAAGTAGTACTTAGGATTATCTGGTCGTAGATGGATAGCTCTGGTGTAGTCCTTCAACCCGAATTGTATCTACATAATGTAGTTAAAAAATATATCTATGAGTAAGTGTGTCTATTTACTAGTAGTGCTGACACATCTACTATTAGCTGTGTATTGTAGAGAATATATCACAGCATTTTTGACATACCAACGACTCATAGCAGTAAGCTTCTGCTCGGCAAACATAAGCTCTGACATAGGTTGGATCAATACGTATCGCCGATGTTAATCGTCGAATTGCACTGCAAGAAAGATATTAATTCATCAGCACTTTTCAGATATAAATTACCATACTTTCCATATGGCATAAAATATCTTGATACTCGTTAATTATAGCAAAATTTACTTGGTATAATCATGTTTTTGCCGCATGTATATAACTCCTAAATTGACATGAGCCAGCACGATTGTTTTGTCTAGTTTTACAGCGGCTTCAAAATCGCTCACAGCTTCCGGCCATCTATTGACCAGTAAGTGAATACAAATATTAAACAATTTAAGCTAATTATAAGAATTTAAACAAGTTTTTGATGGGAGATACTATATATTAGAAGATATGTTGTTACTTTGACTGTAAAAGAAATCTTACTTTGGGTATTCGATTATAATTGTATAGTATTCAAAGTGCAGCACTTTAAACGTTTAATTTACAAATTTAGTTATGCTTGTATGAAAACTGAATAATCTTCTACTACTCTATTAGTGATTAATGGTATAACATTTTTACAAATATTTATTAAAATTGCTATTAATTAAGGGTGATATAACGCAGCTCAATTTATCTCCTGCATTTGTATTACAGAATTTAAATTTAACTCAGTATTATATAAGAAATCTTTTCCGTCTTATCGGGCTATAGTCAATATGAAGAATTTACTCTACATTAAAAATGACATTAATTTTGCTAAGTACGGTACGCAGTACGATGCAATACTATTATGGCAAGAAATCAAATAAATGTGAAATCTTCACGGCCGCGATTTTTTCACACATTTAAAAAATTAAACGAATTATACTATAATACGATAAAAACTATGCGCATGACTAAAAAGGGTTGCAAAGTTCGCGGAATTTAACACATGCAAAAGCTAACCGTTTCATAGATGCGTATATAATACCCCGATGGGCATACGCCAATACATTATCATAGGAATCATCTAAAAGAATAGATGTGCTAAGATCTTGTAAGGCCATCTTAGGGTGGCTTCTATGTTGGAGAAATTAAAAATAATAACTACTATTAACATTTATTTACTTAGTTTTCTATTATAGCCTTAAGATAACCATGCTAGTGAGAAATATTTTAAGAGAATGATTCTAGTATGACACATAATTAAGTATGAATCGAAGCTAGTATTATAGTAACTGCTGCATTTAACGCCTTTTATAGCTTTACTACAACTATAGCAGTGGAAAATTTCAACAAGAAATCTATTTGAAGTATGGTTCTAATATGGCGCATAATAATGTGGAAACTATCTTTAAGATTACAGTAACTGCTGTATTTACCGCCTTACTACAGTTATGACAGTGGTAAAAGTTTACTATTGCTAAAAGTATGGTTCCAGTATGATGCTTAATTAATTAAGCACAAATTTTAAATTTAAGATTAAGTAACCGCTGCATTTATCACCTCTTATAGCATCACTAATACTGTGGCAATAGTAAAAATAATCATCGATAAACCGGTAAAATATGATCCTAGTAGATGCATAATTGATCAAGCTCAAATTTTAAATAAATAGGATTACAGTAACTGCTGCCACATTTACCGCCTTAAAATGCATCCTCTATGATAAAAAATTGTCGCATCGTCTGGATTAAAGTGAATAGCAATTGATAAATCCTTTAAAGCACTTGTAAAATTGCCCTTTAGTATAGAGATAAAACATGAAATAATTAATCTTTGCAGTATACAAACATGTTATCACTCGATGCCTACTATAATAATTTCTTTGTTTCTATAACTAAATTGAAGTTATTAATAAAAACACACTAATTGTGCTTGTGCTCGACCACGATAACTTCTTGCTTCGGCATTATAAGGTGTCATTGCTAGTAATTTTGAAAAATCGTTGATAGCACTTAACCAAGATCCTTGTTTAAACATATACATTCCATGCTTAAATATCGCTTCCGTTTTCGTGGGCATCAATTTGCTAGTTATCGCATAATCTTCTAATGCAGATAAGATGTCATTTTTCTACGGAATTTTCAATGTTAGCAGAATTAAATGATTCTATTAGTATTACGAGATTTCAGATATAGATGACTTATAATATTTATAATTTAAAGCTATCATGTTATTTTCTAATAATAACGACATTATCATGAGACTAAATAAAGACTATCGCTCATTTTTGGATAAAATCCGGGTATAACGATATTATATTCACAGTCAGTACCTTTTCATACATTTCAGCTCTTCTAAAATAAGCTTCTGCATCATCAGGATTTAGCCGAATTGCCTGCGTATAATTAATAGCTGCCATTGTAGCATCGCCAAGACGTCGGAATATTTCAGCTCTAGCTCGATACGCTCTAGCGTGATTTTTATTTATCTTTATAATAAAATTCAGATCATCTAGTGCTTTCTATATGGATTAAGGAGAAATCGAAATAAAGTTAGCAATTTTTACATACTTTAGATAAAGATCATGAAAATTATTAATAATTGATACACTAAGAAGAAAGCTAATTTCTAGCAATTACATAGTCCTCTCCTTGCAATAAATATAACAGATGTCTTTGCCAAAATGCATCCAAAAATTGTGGTTCCATTTTTATAGCAAGTTCGAGGTCTTCTTGTGATCGCAACAGTTGGCCAATTTTACGCAAAAGAGCTCCACGCCGTGATAAATTATAAGCTGTTACCTTATTGTGCAATTTAATTTCATCATCTAAAGTACCGATTTCCTTCATAATAGCCTTCAAAAGGGTAAAGATTAAAGGATTTCATTTTTTTTAAGTAATGTATTCAAATAGATCATTATTCGTAAATCATTGTCTAAGAATTTGTAAGAGTGATAAATGATAGGGCGTCACCTCATAGATCTGAGGATTACTATCTTTAATAATGGGATCTAATTCCTCGATATTAAATCCTTTAATTGTAGTTGATTCAGCCTCGACATTTTCTTCTTCTTTTGGTGCCACACTAAAGTCTAGCAACGCATGAAGGTAAAATCAATATTAATAATTACTAGACAGGATAAAAACTATAGCCAATACTAGTATGAGATTGTCTTCTGCAAACTATTTATTAATGTATTAAGAACTTATTTGAGTCATAAAGTCAAATGTAAAATACCGAATTCTATTTCACTAGGTGGATAAATTTCGTCAAACCATTTTTCCCATTGTTCTTTAGTGGAATCATAGGAATCTAAATTGCTTTACATATTACAGTAAAAATCTTAGACACTATATTAATACTAATAATTTAGCCTCATAAGAGCTACTTTTATACGCGTGAATACTAGTTTGTTAGCCCAAGAACTGTACCTTTCAGGATTAGCTGCTTGAAAATTTTCCACATCCATTGCAGATGGTACTGTTTTACGTCTTTGCCTGACCAACGCTACATCAACTTCATTTATTTGATGAATTGATTGACTTCTTTGTAGGGGTTGTGCTGATTGCTTAAGAAATGCTTCGATTTTTTTAATTCGTTCTGCCGATATAATTCCTTTCTTTCTTTTCTTTTTCGTTTTCTTTCTATAAATTGACCATATAAATATGATTGGAAAGATGCAGATAATTATAATTAATACGTTTCTTGACTACCTTACTCGCAGAAATATTAACTATAATGTAAAATTGTTTTTATTATGATCGATTCTCACTTTTGCTTGTTCTTATTGCTAGCCCAATTTTTATTAGTATAATGGCCTAACTCTTCTAAGGCACCATCATGAAGGTCCTGGTCCGATAAAGGGGAATCTCCAGAATTGATAACTCCTTCTAATATCTCTGAGTCAGTTATTTGATATCTTATTTGATCAATTTGCTCTGCTTGCATTTGAACCTAAGTTAGTAAAATAAAAGACGATTACGCTTACTCTTGTGGATTATTTTTATACGATTAAATAAATATATTGATAGCATTATTTCGCAAATATATATCTGTATCGTAGATGTGCTATTTTACACTAGACTGCTACAATCTTCTTACTAACTTCTGCCATTGTGGAATCATAATCAGTTGGCAATCGTAAAAACTGTTCTTCAAATCTGATAGGATTCGGTTGGGAATTACGTCGTCTATAAGAAGGAAGGAAGTAATCACTTTTAAAATATCCGTAAAGCGTATTTTTCGTAGAAGAATTTTATAACTAGCTATGACAATGGATAGGTTATCAATAATAGCAGCTGATACGATGTTCATGTTATAAATATCTTTATAGTAGTTCAGTAGAACTTACTTTATTTCCGACACTTTAGGTAAAGGATAAATGTTAGGATGTTGCTTTTTGACCTTGGAGTTAACAGAAGGCAGCTGCTGTAGACTGTCAGTAATATCACCATCTTTAAGGGCCGACTCTAATTATGTAGAAACGGCAGTAATGAGCTAAATGTGTTGAATACTAACGAAAGTGGGCAGGAATAGCTCAGTGTACTATTACCTTCTATTTTTTCATCTTGTTCAATGGCATCTATTATATATTATATAAGAAATATAAATTTAATTTAAATAATAGTCTTAAGAGAGAATCAAGGGACTGTTGTTTAAATGCGGAATTTAGAACTTGTTGTGCTGCATAATATTCCTGCATGAGTACACTTCTTTACCAATGAGAATATTATTGCAATTAAATAACTACAGAAATTCTTAATATCAGTGAATAACTATTACAGTACTTTATGCGAGTAAGTATACTCGGGTTCTACAACGCTGTTTCTCATCCTTACGTCTATCGACCTATAAGCTTATGAACTTAAATCTTCGATCTTAGAATAAAATGTAAATTTACCATATACTGTACTCGTATACAAATTGTTATAACCTCCGCGTTGTTACAATTTAATTGACTATATATATATCTATTCCGACTTTTTATAATTATATATGCTTAAATTATTGTTAGTTCTCACAGGTACAAGTTGTAACTATTTATCATTTAATGAACTTAAACCCTTGATCTTAAAATAAGTTATAAATTTACAGTACATACTACTTTAAGTATATACTGTACTATAAACTACAGTACATACATTTGTAATGGAAAAAGCTACTATTTATTACTGAATAATGATTTGTACAGTATTATTCTCAGTAATTGAAGAACTACAGTACATATATAAATCTATTCTTAAGTTGGCTAATATAAGAATGGATTTCGCTAAACTCTACCTTCTTGATCAGTTTCTTCAGCAGGTGGTTTATCTTCGATTATAACATTCGCTGAAAATTCTACTACTTTAGAAATATCATTCACAGATCCATGACGTCTGCCTAAAATTCTATAATGCATAATATACGATTAATTGCAGTTTAGCTATGAATATATATTTTCGCAGATATTAAAACCAGTGATTAAACTCGCCCCAAAAATACGTTAAAAGTCGGCAATTAAATTACGATTTTAATTCAAATAAGATATGCCGCATGTAAACAAGAAATCATGTTAACGCAGGTAACTTAGACTACTTAGTCTAGATCTAATTAATGATCAGTCAATAATTTCACATCAATCTAATAATTAACCGAGATATTTGTACGATACTTCAAAATTATTTCGCTAACCTTAGTCTCATTTCGCGATCTTCCGGATCCAAATCTTCAAATTCGAAATCTTCAGATTCACTACCTTCAGATGTACTTAAAGCAGTCAATGCAGTAAGGTTATTTGGTTTTAATACAGGAAATGTAGCACCAAAGTATTGAGGAAATAATTGATTTTGTATCGTTTCCGGAGCTATCTGAATTTTAGGAGGTCCAACAGAAAATAACATATCCGAAAGACCCTTCTCTCTTAGTATTGCCTTTCCAATCAAAGCTAGGCCTTGGGTTTGATTAATCTAAAAAGATAAGTATAAACCCGCAAATTCATAAAAATCTGCGTAAAAGACAATATGGCACTTCAAGAAATATCAATATCATTATATTTTTCAAATCCTTTGTAGTTTATACAATAAATTTGACTTTATTTCAATAAAAGTAAAGTGCTGAACCCTAGGTTATTAAAAAATGACTTCTTTTAATGCTTACTAAATTATCAATATTTTCATCAAGTTGTTCAAACTCCGTTTCATTATCGTATGAAGCTTCGATATCCTTCATAATTCTATCTGCTGCTTTCGTAACTCTTTCCTTATCTTGCAGCAAGTCTTCATCAATATCTTCATCTTGTTGCTTTTTAAATTTCTAATATATTAAGTTATGTTTGGGAAATTCGATTGTAATAGAATTTTAAACCGACAAAATAAAATAAGAAATTATCATTTTCTAAGGTAAACAATCCAATAAAAAGTAATCATCTATAGAACAGTTAGAACCTGTAAAACATTAGCAGGAATATTTCCAGACACATTTTGACTAATAACTTGAAATCTTGGTGGTAGATAGATAGCAGAAGTAGGCAAACAAAACTGATGCATGGTAGTTCGATTCTGGTTCAACTTCGTTTTTTGATACTTCTTATTGGAATTTATGGATTTGTAGCGAAACATCATATGGCTTGGCATCCCTACCACTCCAATCTGATCAGGATTTTTTAAGTCTTGGCTATCGAAAGGTTGAGACCCTATATTTAAAAAACGAAAGTGGATAAATGCATAGAGTTAGGCAATTTGCTGTTAATTAATACTGAAAGGTAAGTGGTAGATGGTAAAGTAAACATTAAGATCGAATCAAGATCTAGAAATTATGCAATAAATATTTACTTTATAGTAGTTATTCTCAGGTTATAATAATTTTGGATCAATGATAACCAAGGATCCTTGGTTGTCATTGATCCAAAATTAATGGTAGCAGACTAAAGTAGAATAATGCTAAGACACAGTATAGTTTTAAGCACCTATACAGTAGCTCAATATCCTTATCGTATTATTGATATCATAAAAAATCCATAAACTGAAGCTTATGATCTTGTTTAATATGCAAAATTAATATCTTCAGAATAATCCCCTTATGTAGTTAAAGTTCTTGTAGAGTGTGCGTACACTTTATACAGAAGGTGTTCGAATGTATAGTACTGCCAACGTTTTAGTGGTGCCATTTTACACAGAAAGAGATTCAATTTAATTGACAACCTGTTGGCATAGAAACTTAAACATGTAATGCAATCCTAAAATGAAGCAATACCTAAGTATAACTAAATACTGCAGTATTTTCGTCCTCTAATGAGATCTAAATCATCTACTAATATCATGATCATCAATACAGCAGCCAAATGAGCATTCTACGGCTCTTTAACTTTCCAAATATAGAATGGAATAGATTAATTGTATTTAGCATAGATCTCTACGTCTTTACTCTGAACTATTCAGTATGACCGCGTATTAATAAAATGAGAATTCTATGTTTCTCTAACTTTCCAAGTATACTGTAGAGCGAAGTAGCATTAGTTACCGTTAACATTAAAAAGATTTCGCGCCTCTGATTTGTTATTTAAATGACAGTGCAGTAATAATACCAGCACCTTAATACGATAGCCTCTATTTATCATTTATGGCTACATAATGTATGGCTTTAATGACATTGCAAATAAATACCAACAATAATTAAGAAATTTCTTACTATTTTCTCCATGAGCATTATTTATTTCTTGTGATGGACTTTCTTCAATTTGCTCTTTACTGCTAGGTGATATTGGGCGACTATGTCGAAAGAATTTACGTCGATATGTTGGAGCAGAACTAATGGATGAACTAGTATGTTCTCGCTGTGAGCCAACATTACTACGTGGACTAGTACTACGACTCCGATACTGTGCTAAATCAATTCCTAATTTCTCCAAATCTTCAACATATTTAGAAATATCTTTAATAACAGTGGCTGCAACTTGTAAATCTTCCATCTTAGCTTGCCGAGTATCATTTTTATCCTCCTCAGTTTCTTCATATTCTTGCAATCCAGTCACACTAGGCTCCTCCTCAATAACGCTTTGCAAAAATTCATCTTTATCAACAACAATAACATCAGTTGAAGTTGCTGTATTACGTCTTGGTCTTCTACTACTTGATCTGAAATCAATAGTTTGCCGAAGGATATTAATACTGTTCCGCTTTCGTAACAGCATTTTCTTTTCACTTGTTAGGCTATTACAGAAAAATTTATTAAAAAAAGGGAAAGAAAATTGTTACCCATATTCATACATAAATCATCTATCGTATAAGGAATGAAATTACAATTTAATTACCTTGAGGCCGTACTTGTAGCACTATGTATTACAATCGAGGTATTATCGATAGGAGGTGTTACAGTAGGCCTAGAAGGTTGTCTTTGATGTAATGTAGCGGCTAATAACGTCTTCTTCCCTTTTACAATTGCTGGTTTAGAAGCATCGTTACTATCCATATGGTTTCCGTCCATAACAACAGGGCCAACATTTTCCGTAATGATAAATTTCTGTTTTAGAAAAGATGTAATAAAGTCAAATCTATAGCATTAAAGAATGTCTTGTCTAACATTACGGGCAATTAATATTGGACACTTATGCTATGAATGTATGACAATCTTTAGGGTAATTCTTACTTGCTCAGATTTCCAAAGTTTCTTACTCGGTTTAGTTGTTTTTCCAAGATCATCCTCAAGCTTACGTCCTTCTAGTAATACATTTAATTTTGATACTTCATCGCTATTTTAATTTGAATAGAAATGAAAAAAAACGATGAGTGGAAACATTTTTCGGATATAAAATCAGCTGTCTTTATCAATTAATCTACCTCAGTTGAACTTGCTTCGACTCTAGATTTTCTTGCTTGCTATTGATAACTGAATACATATGAAATAAAAATCTTTAGCATAAACATTACAAAATCTAGTATCAATTTTAGAGCTCTCTTTCTTATGTAGCACAGCTTATGCAAGTATTGCATCATTACCTGCTAAAGGCTTCGTTTTAAACGTTTGATTTTTAGTACTTTCTTCTTCTGTGCTTTTATTCTTATTTAAACTCGATAGCGTTAAAACCCCCAGTAAATCTCTGAGATTTGACATAATATGGAATATTTAAGTACAGCAGAATAAAGCTATAAAATGGAAACTATATTTGTATCTATAATCGTATAAGGTATAACAAGTTAATTTTATTAATTACCTATTATTATCGGTTTCTAACGTATTCGTTTCCTAATTCAATATAGCAAAAAGGATATTTTTTTGTTAGAAAGCATTAATTCTTTCCTATTGATATCATTGTATCACAATTAAGAGCATACCCGAACTTTATCTTCATAGCTATGGATAGTCTCGTTAGAAATACCTTTCGTACTTGTTACATCAGGCTTCTTCTTATCTAGCAACTTGGTACTTAATTTGAGAAATAAATTCAAAATTAAACTATAATAGCCATTTAAATTCAATATTACTATATCATGATGCGCTACGGTGATCAATGCTACACTACAGTCTACGGAATTGTCCTTCAAACTGATTAGTAAAAAGACATGTTGATACAGTCTTGTTATCAAGCTGCTACTTACGTACCTATCTTTACTAGCAGAAGCTATTCTTCCTGACGCAGAAAGCACAGCTCGTGATGTGAGAGGCTAATGTAAACATGTATGGAGATAAAGTTATACAGATCACAGTCGAAAATAAAACAGCTGATACTATATCATAACATCAAACACTCCAAATAAAGAGTGAAATTTTCACATCAATTCAAATAAAATATGCGTGTTATATCAGTAGAAGACAAGACATACCGTCAATAGTTAATAAACATTTGTTGCCGTAGTTGATTACTTACAGGATTAACTTGTTTTTTAATTTCCCTTCTTAGTTTTAGCTCTATCCTCCGACTATCTAATAATCCAAGCTGAGCCATTTCATTCGCTATCTCATCAGGACTAGACACTTCCCTGTTTATCAATTTTTGGAAATATGTATATACTTTTTAATTAACTACTTTGCTTGAAGATACAGATTTTTGAAGTATTTAGCACGTTAATTAATAATCAAATTGTATAATATTTGGTTCCATTTCTGAAATCATTCGATACAGTATAGTCTACCAATGGAATTTAGTTTAATACTGTACCATAAATAACGTAAAAATTGAACGAAAAGAACGACGCTTAGAAGTTTATATTTCTGTACAATACTTGTAGACTCGTATGTACTGTATTAAAAATCCCATAACTTTGATAATGGTTGTATATAACGAATATTATTGTACCATTACTACAAGATTTACATATGTACACAGTATGATCATTTACGTTCCCATCCACTAAGCAGCTTGTCCTTAAAATCATTGATCTTTCTACTCGGTATACTGTATATTAACATCTCAGATATTTTACACAACGACAGCCAGAAGTCGTTATTCCTTCCACCTACCTTGCGCTAGAATTGACGAAATTTTGACCATCCATTTATGATATTAGATGACCTTGTAAAATTTAATAGACGATTAAATTGCAATAAATACGCTGCCTAGATAGTATAGCATAACAATCCGCCATTTGCATTTACAACTGAATTGTTGCTATGGTTTCATCCTTCATTTCAATAATTTTCAAATCTCTAGAGGAGAAATCTGCGCATGTTCGCGACACTGTTTGTGGTATAATAGCATTACTATAGAACTCTAGCCATGGTCTAAGCTACTGTACTACTATCATACTACAGAGGTTTCACAAATATAAGTACAGTACGTGCTACACAGTGGCTATCCAGTTACGCATCCATGACTGCGTATTGGTATACTGTAATTTAACGATTCATTAACAAAATTGGGATTATACCTTCGCAATCAAAAAGGTTTCTCTACAGAGTTGGCAATACCTAATAAATGGGGCTACGGGATACTGTTTATCTTCTAACCTCTTCTTATACGGATCCAAGTTAATGCACTATAACATCAGCTAATACATTTCGAAAAAATTTGATTTATTTAGCTAGTGCTGTATACATTGTATGTTGTAACATTAACATTTAGAATTTTTTAATCTAACCTATCTACTTCCAGTCATGATGACAGTAATTAATTAACGCAGAAAAATTAGTGACAGGCATTTATCCGCTAAAGGTTATAAAAGAAATGATAACTTCCTGGCTTGATCTGCTGAATCTTTCAAAGCAGCGATATAGAGACTTTTTAATGATTTAATTAAAATGTTAGAGAGATTACAGATAGACAAACAATAGCATTATCAAGCGTGCGTGTATTATGTACTCGAGCATTCCTCGTTAGATTAATAGTTGTAAGAAAATTCCTTATTCATTTCCATTCCAAAGGATCACTACTACCTAACTCCTGTTAGAAACACGGCTTAGCTAATTCATAAATTCTTGGAAATTTCGATTTAAGTCTCAAAGCTGTACTTCATGATTTGTGGTATTCCTATCTTTCTCCCTTTTGTTTATCTCTTGATAGCAATGCGTAAAGAACTACGTAGTTAGAAAATACAAAATCCTACATAGGATATCTGTTATCGTAGTAATGTAATTTCAATAGATTCAAATAAAGTTTTTAGCCGTGAATGATAATTCAATTTTAAAAATATTCAAAATGACACCTGTTATATAAGCAAACATTTAGGTATAATCAATAGAAGTTAAAGTCGTCTCCGTCGCATAGACGGTAGGTTATACAACAGATCCATCTTTACTTAAAAATACAATCCCTATTGAAATATCATTATAGATGGGCTAATGAGATAATAGATAACCAGAACAATTATATCTGTCGATATCTACGTATACCTATACAAATCGTAATAGGATGGTCACATTAATTATACTACAGGAAACAATCTTTCAACTTTATTTTTGCCATCGAAACTTAAAGTGATGTACTAATTACCATGTATCAGTGAGTATATGCAATAGCTGACAGTTACTGTACTGCATCGTGAAATAATTCATAGTCTCTAACTGGAACTTGTATTTTTTAAACAGTGTCACGATCAAGCAGAAACGTAGATAGCGATCAAAATCAATAATTGTACATTTAATCAAAGATTGCCATAAAATTCACGGCAGTAATATGATCCCGGTATAAAGCTATTTACAGTTCATTTACAATCCAGAAGATAATTTTTTGTCACTATGACAGGTTGTATTCCGCAACGATATGGTGTCACGCTAGAGCTAAGATCTTAGAGATTGATAGAAGGCCTCATTAATAATAATAATACAGTAACAAAGATATAAGCAATAATGCAATAATGAAATATTACAAGTCGCACCAAAGCATATTAAATTGATTAGTAATTTAAAGTTTCTTATCAATAGGAAGAATTAGAATGATAATTGTCATGTTTAAGCCAGCAAAAGCACAAAGCCGTGCTGTAGCTATGATAATAACTGTAGCCATCTTTACATTTCAGATTAAAAATTTCACCATAGCCGAAACAACCAATTACATGAATACAGGGAAAGGCTTTTCTGATCAGACCACTTTCGACATTTTGCTCTCCGTAATACATATAACCCCGACCAACACAAGGAAACATATAAACAATATCCGGAGAATATGATATCGATGATGGCCTTTCTACGTTAGCAATAGAGTTTGCTAAGTCGCTTTTATCATTCTCATATAAGAGAACAGTGGATGCTTCCATGTATTCACCGCCTATCGCCATCGCAACCAAGGCTGGCTCTTTTCGGCAATCTCGCATAAATTGAAAATTGCAATGCAATCGTGCTATACCGGAGTAAATAGTATCGTGACCAGTCAGTAAGTATACCACATATAATTTTAGAATACAGCTATGATGTAAGCTTATATTCGGTAAAATAGGTAAATAATTAAAAGTATTCACATAATCTCTGAATCTGAGCTTATCCAGGCGAACTTCATTTTATATTATATTATATAAAGGTAAAAAGTAATATTATCACGAGTGAAATAACAACATTCTGAAAAAAACTCACCTTTAGGTTGGCATAGACATCCAACGATCGCAGATTTTTCTTCATCTTTGAAAGCAGCTTGCAAGGCTGTAAAGTCATCGTTCTCAAGCATGTCGAAATCGGTTAGTAAAAGGATAGCCTTTATATCAGTCATTCCAATGGAAGCTTTCCATACTTTAGCTGTATCCTCTTCTTCCGGTTTTAGATCACTTTTATATAAGGTAAAGGCTTTGACTGTAACTCCTAGTAGAATAGAGCATAACTTTAGGGAATAGTCTATGATCCACAGTACATATAAATCAGCAAAATAAATGATAATACAATGGAGTGAGTTTTTAGTAAATATAAATAATTCTTATCATTTAAGGTTATAAAGAACTTCAAGCCCAGTTAATAATTAATTCTTATTATAGCAAGCGCTGCACCAATTAATATTGTTTTATGATCAGAAGCGATTACAGAATAATATCTATTGGTGAGTAAATAGCATGATACCTGTTATGCGAGGAATAATTAGAATCGAGGCTTTACCAGCTTCCTCTAGTTCTAAAGAAACGGATTTTTGATCCATTTCATGGCTGCCGACAATACCATTGCCAGAGCAACCGAGGATTTGACAGTTGGATGGCACATTCGATTTGATGCAAGAGATTAATGCTCGTGTATCTCTTAATTTATCAAAGGTGGAAAAAACGTTGATTGCAGCGGGTACAATAGGTAACTGGTGAAAAAAATGGTGGAGATCACCGATAGCGTCGGGAGATTCTACGATATAAGTAGCACAACAACGGCGTTCCATTAAAATTTTAGTAGCTAATTGATTCCATTCTTTGCAAACAGCGGATGCATTGCATAATGATTTTGCATCCAACTTGGACAAGATCATGCTTAAAATCTCAGGCAATTGTAGTGCGAAATGCTGACTGTATGTACTACCTATATCCATATTTCTACGATCTTCTTACAACAGACTTACTGGATCATACAATGCATGTAAGATGGTTAACCACAACAACTAGCTGATCAATGTACTGTATTGCCGTTAATGACACCGCAGTAGTAAACAGGTCGAGTAAATGTTAGCAAAATAACAGATGCTGTATATCGTATTTTCAAAATTTCCAGTTTCCTTTCCTTTCAAAATCACAGATATTAACGTTATGTGTAAAACTGTTTTAAATATCTGCAAAGCTGTTCATGATCTTACAAACCATCGATTACGTCTCTCCTTTAAACCGAGAATCGTACAGTACATGGCCCAAAGACTACTTCCTAAAATAGGATTGATTTTGCTGTATAAGTATACAGTACAATGTTGTTTTATTGTCAACAAATTCCAGACGCAGCCGCAGTACAAGTAGGCACAAGTGTTCGGTACAGTACAGTACCGTACAGTACGGTACTCTCACTACAGTATAGAGTACTGTATCTTACAGTACTGCGCACTGTACAGTACAGTACAGTACCTCGTACAATACTGTACCGGCGTACAATACAGTACTGTACCTTCGCGTATCGTAGTGTGAGAGTTCGGCAGTGCTTGGTACTACTTAGTGTCCGAACAAGAGATCTTAAGATAGTGTTTACTAAAGACTCAACTTGCCATCCTTTTTAAATGTAATTATTGCTCAATCGATGAAATGGAAACAATCATGGCGGCAATGATTGCGGACATCGATCAAGCTAATTGAGGTTGATTATAGACAAATGTGTTGCTTAATATCGATATTGCTATAAATACACGCGTATAGTGACAGGTAGTGACAGAAGAGGTGTCAGTGGAACGTATTAAATGCACAAGTTACCATCTTGTAATGTATGATTGCTCAGAAAAAGTTGAAAAGCCTCATCGGTGATGCACCTGATTATCGGTGATGCACCGGATTATCGGTGATGCACCTGATTATGCTTATGTAAAATCAACATGGCCTTAAAAAATGCGACAACATCAGTATATCTTAAGTAGCAATTTGAATACAGATGGCTGAAACTCTATATCACTATTTTATAATGTACCATTGACACATTAAACGTATCATGATTAATCAGCAAGTTAAATTACCTGTTCAAAGTCAAACAGCAGTATCTTATTGATAAATTTATTTCTGTCTAGGGTAACAACACTATTTAGAGATTATGTCCTCGTCAATGACATCCAAAACGTATGGACCGTTGCCACCACCTAGCTGCACGGAGGCATCACCAACTTCTAATACTGGTCAAACATTAAAAGAATCAACCAAACAAGAAACAACTGCGGTTGCAACTTACGGTCCAATATTACCGTCTTCACATGCAAGCAACAGTGCAGCCTCTACATCAAATCAAAATGATTCACCTGAAAGTGAACAGACAGCAAATGAGGCTCAGCAATACGGACCTGCACTACCTCCAGGTTTTGCTCTAAGTATTCAGGATCAAAATACTGATAACAATAGTCCATCAAAAGAATCAAAATATATTGGACCGATCATGCCATATCAAAGTAATGTTAACCAGGAAGACGAAATCACTCTCCATCAAGGTGAACTGACTGAAACATATAATTAACTGCATTGTTTTTATTAACTCTGTTAGAATAGTAAACCAATTAGCCAATATCTTAATGCAGACATATTGTATTAAATATACATATAAACAGTAATTGATATGGAAGATAGGATAATATTTTAAAATGTTTTAATAGTTACTACATCTAATGTAACTAAGTATCTTTGAAATTTATACTATAGTTAATAAATGATAAAATTTTGATATAGAAATGCTGTAAAGTAATATCTTTATCATTTTTGCTATCATTGTTCTAAATAGTTAGCAATGACGATACTGTTGATGACGACTTTGTTGGCCCATTACCGGAGAAGATAAATGAGAAACGGGTAAGTCAGTATAAAGCAAAGAATAATCTTGATAAAGTTATGTTAAAGAAGCTACTTGGAATATATGATACGCATAGTAACAATTATACTTCTATATTACCAAGGTGATACAGTACTTTTTACGAACTTTTAAACTAGGGCTTGTAATCAGTGATAGCTCCGTTTAACTTATACTTATATCATTTTGTACAATACACAAATCTGCAAGTTGATACATGTATTGCACTATTTATGTATATAATGTTAGAAAGATATCACTGATATTGCCATGAAAAGAGAACGTCAGTTTCTAGCAGCGAGACAACAATCTAACTTGGAAGAGGTGATGTAATTTTATTTTAAATAGAACACTGCCGCAATATAATGTACATACTACTCATTCTACCTTAGTTATTTGTTCTATAATATTTTAAGGTTCTACGAAAAAATGTAAAAGTTATTTACAACGTAACGTCTTACGGTAGTGAGCCAGTTGGGCTAATATCTAAAAAAATTCTACTATTATCGCTCTATTGCAGTTATAAATTATTACACATCTATCGTATTGTTAAAGATAATACGTTCCATTGTTAATATTAGATGTAATATGATTAATACAATATCAACACATTATATAATTATAGATACAACAAATACTCTAATTTTATGTAAATCGGTAATGACAGGCAAAGAGCGGGCGTGAATCGTGGATGACGGACTTGCCTGCCAGTATAGGAAATCAGTTTGGTAAGCTGATCAGGCTAAATTAAGTTGGTAAAATCATTTTAGAAGGTACTAGCAAAGTTGATATGCCTCACTCTATTTTCTGGGTTTGTCTAATAATGTTAGGATTAGGACCGCGACAATTCCGTAGGAACGAGTCAGTAGGCAAATATGACCCTACTTCTTGGACAGAAACTCCAAGTGATAAAGCTAAAAAGATGAATAAGGTATAGCCGTAGTAATAACCAACTCTACTAATATGAAATTGTATTTCAAAGTCGCTAAGATCATAATAATTTTATAGTTTTTATTAAATATTATGATAGCTATTTGATCATTCTCATAATACTTAAAAAAGGAAAAACGAGAAAGAAAACGCAGCCCGATACAACCCGATGTGAAATTATCCGATAATGATTCACTAGTATTGAGGAAGATCGATGATTACAATGTAACTATACATATATAAGTTCTAATATTAATCTCTCTAATTACATTTACCAACCTAACAGAGCACAAGATTAGTAAATAAAGGACAGATAATTCTAACGAATGGGATTTACCTGCTTAACTTAAATTCATAGAAACATCACCGTAAAGAGTCGCTTATAGATCTTCACGTTAAAAGAAAACGGGTTAGTAATATTTCATATCTTGATATATTACTTAAAGTGCTGCAACTATCTTAATTTATTCTAATTATTACTAGGACGAAGAACCAGAGGATACGAAAAAGGAAAGGAGACCCTTCGATAGAGAAAAAGACTTAAATCATAGTGCCTTAAATGCGACACAGCGTCGCTCAGTTATTAATAAAGCTAAAAAGCTTGATAGTCGTTTTTCTCGAAGCGCTACTAATGCCTTTTTGTGATATTTCTATAGTTCTATATTATTAAGTCTCTTTTCCATTAGATCTAATACTAAGTTAGTACATTTATCTTGTTTATAAATAATGTGCAAAATGTTGAAATGTTGGAAGATAAATATCATAAAAAGAAATTTTAATAATTCTTTGCAATGTCTTATACATTGGATAGTCGATTCACATTTTATATTATGATATCAACAATTTATGCACAGTCTACAAGTTTGGTCCTTGCACAAGGTCAGAAAGCAATATCTTGATATTGATATAGATGAAAATCTAATTTTAATTTATGAGACCCTGTAATGTACCAATCTTTAATCTATTGTTGTATTATAACATGATCTGCATTAAATTCTGTTTGATAATGTTAAATTGCTTAATGAAATAGAATCATTGCTCTGATGCGTTAAAACATAGTTGCATATATTTACAATTTCAATAAAGTAGTAACATGGATGTTACATTAATACAAGAATTTCAATATCATAAAAGTAGCGCTAGTAACGGTAGAAATGTTTGCTCCTTACCAGCAATTTTAAAAGGGCATTAAGACGTTAATAGTTACAGCAAATGATTTATTGTTATACAATGCGCTATATTGCATAACAATTAACTAATTAATATCATATTGATCATTAAATCAATAAGCAACCACATTAAATCAACCTAGATCTATACTCTGCTACTGATACACCAAAATTAAACGTTGATTTGTAATTCTTAGTTTGACGCGCTTCATAATAAATAAAACTATCCATTCAGTTCTATTTTCTAGCGCACCTTTAAATCACCAATACCAAAAGTATCAGAAACTTGCGTAGTCCCCGATCTAGCATATAGACAGTTGAGTGTAATTAATGATCTACATTTGCTTAGTACACCAAGTTTAAATTAAAAATGTGTCTATCCATACAAGAATCGAATAAAATATTAACCTGAATGATATATTTCCTGATCTGTTAAATTTTCGATTGTCTTCATGCTCAGATAAATGGCGATGACAAAACTCGATAATATCATTTAAGGAGGTTAATTCAATTTGCAATTCATTCCTCGAATAAAGTTGAAAATCGGATACTTTCTGCAAGCTAGACGCTGCTTCTTCTATAAATTCGTGTAAACAATTCAATTGATATAAAATGACAGGCTAGCTCTTGCTGTCAAATAAATTCCATAATCACACTGATTAAAGATCTTATAATACTATTATTGTTTACCCCGTAGATTTTGTAAATCTTCCAATTTATTTACAAATAATGTGTACACCTTCTCTAGCTCCCGATCAACATCAACTTTTATATGCATAGTGGTATCAGGCGAGTCAGCCCTATGAAATCATACGTGGTATATCAGTACTACTGTATTTTCAAAAAATTAGGATTACAAACGCTAATAGAACATTAGAGAGCTCACTCAGATATACTTGTAACATGCGTACATCCAGCGATAACTTCCTGTGGTTTTCCACAACTGTTACGATATATATATATATTAGTAATATCCAATTACACAAATTTTCGTCTTAAATAAAATTATAGCCGTACCATATCCAAGCGTTTTTCTTTTCATCAAATGCACCCGGGTGATAAGCTTCCAATCTATTAGGGTTCTTTTGACAGATTTTCTTTAGTACATAAATCCTACACATAAATCAATGTTTCAATTGGGTAAAAAGTAACAGCAAAAGTAAAATAGGAAAAGTTTACGTCCCTAATTCCACCATAGAATCTAAACACTCACCAATCTCGTTCTTCTACACTATTATTAGCTAAAACATATAGTGGTCTATTCGGTTGTACTATTTGGAACATCTAAAAAGTGAATGTTTAGTTTTTATTTAATTACTGACACCAAGCTAAATACTATATTCTTAATTTTACAGATTATAGTACCAGTTTCATTTTAAATGCTTCATAATCAACTCTTTCTACAGCAAGAATGTCTTCCTTTGGAATTTGACATAGGATTTCAGAGCCTTTACAGAATCCATAAGATTTAAGTTAAAATAGAAAAATAGAACATTTTGGAAACGTCTTCGCATGATCATGATGTTAGAATTATAGTTATCGACCTTTCTCCTTCGCATAACTTAATTCTTCAGTTGTAAGCAGGAAATATCTTAAAAATATAAAATAACGCAAAATATTAATTTTTATATAAAAAATTTAAAATAAGCCACTGGCATAGAGAGTCTCTAGGGTACACACCTTTTCCGGAAAGGCTTTACACCAAATTTTTTCCGTCTTCCTTGAGCACGTTTAATCATAATTCTAAAGTTATCGCAAGTTGATAAATTCTATCAATTCTAATTTATCACAGAAATACGTTCAAACTCAATAAATGTTTTCATTACCCTTCTTTGAGTACTAAAGGCATCCCAGAATTTTCGTTGTATTCATGCGGAGATGAAATAAAATCTAAAAACTAATCCACGAGTAATATATCACTCATACGATCATTACTGAAATCTTTTTTAGACAAAGTGCTTACATTCTTCACAGCTGCTATGTGAGTATCATTTAAGAACATGCTATTGAGAGTTTCCATGTAAGTTTCTTTCATCTTTGATAAGAATTAAAAGTAATCCATATTTTACAAAAAATTTTGTATCTTTAAAATTGGCAAAACTCTGATAAATATAAGTAAAGGACAGCTTACAGATTGAACACATCCAAGATTCCCTAGATTTTGAATACTTTTAGAAATTAACGTTAATGTTCTGCAGGTTAGCGGTTCCTGCAATATTTATAAACATTAGAAAGGCGATTGAAGTTAATATCTTTACCAAGTTCACACAAATGGAACTTAGTTATCAGAATTGCATAGACTCTATAATCTCAGAAAGTTAGTATTTATGTATACCCCATGATCCGCTCTCATCTGAAACAAGCGAGGATTTAACAACGCCGGAGCAAAAAAACGTAGGAAAATAAAACCGCTAACTGAGGTAAAGCAAATGTCCTCAATATCTAAAATTAGTTAAAGATAATAATTTAGAAAAGTTAATACATAGTCATCAATAGTGAAACGCGATAATTTATGATATAACCTGGAAAACGTCTAACTGCTGCTTCTTTGATATATCGAAATAGTTCACACATAAGAGGTGGACAATGAATTGCTGAACAAGTAATAGCTACAAAACATCTTTCGACATAACCTTGTAAATTCCCCTAAAGCAATCACGTATAAAAATAATCGTATGAGTATAAGTAGTATGCCACTTTCTTCGTATAGAATATTTATTAGGGAATCACAAGCTAGAATTGAAGATAAGATTACAAGGTTAGCATCCAAAGATTCGCTATCTTTCAGTTTAGAGGGATCAATTTCACATGGTTTCTTGTCTTCAATTATCTACATTGGTATGCATTTTCGGTAACGATAATAAATATAAAAAAATTTATTTTAATACAATTTAACTACTACTGGTCCTTGTAATATACATATATTGCACGTTAGCAAACTACACATGTACTGTACAATACACTATTTAGATATTGACCTCATCTATGATGCCATTTAGGGTATAATGTAAGTAATGTTGGCCATAAATTTTCATAAATTCATCTATCGCTTTTGAAGCAAGTGAATTTCCGCGAAACAGAGTATTAGGGTCACTATAGAATGTTTAAAATAAAAAGAATAGTGATTGATGTACTTCAATTTCTATATCAACATCGTATGTATATATATACATTGTAGTGTAGGGTCATTTACCTTGTATGGCGGATTTCATTTTCGGCTACACACCTTAAAAAATCTACAACCTACAACGAAATAAAAAGTATTCCTGTAATGAGAAAATTTAAAATTATCCACATAACTACTATCTTGTCCATTTACCTTATCGTAATGGAGAAAAATCTTCACTAACGATTTTGCAGCGTCTATCTTATCTTTAACAATTCTACCTAGAACAGCGGCAGGACTTGAGTTGATCGGCTGATTTTAAGAAATAAATTGAGAGTAAGAATCGTAATCATTAATATTAGTCCGCCAATGTGATGACGAAAAAGTTTATTATACTTACATTGCAGTCAATAGAATTTACAATTAATTTTCTTAACTGGTCATACGATCGCGAGGGAAAAACCCAATCTTCCACATAATTAATTTTTAGACGAAGCGATCCTAGATCAGCTTTATTTCCACTGTGTCGGCCTTCCCTTTCACTGAGCATATAGCTATTTTGAAAAATTAACTGACTATTAAATAAAAATTAAAATTTTTTAGTTATAAGTGCGAAACGTACCTTGCCTCGTGACTACTCGACAGATCCAAAGATTGAAGTGGTATTGTAACCTAGATTTCGTTAATTTAAAATAGCATTCTTTAATCATATTTTCAACATTCTATAAAAGTCTTGGAAGAAATTATCATCCGTGCTGTTATCAATGATAGCAAAAATAACAATAGTAATAAAATTTTTAAATACTAGATTAGTCAACAGTAAGAATTGATCAAAAACTATTTCAAAAATAGTTAGTTTGCTAAATGATATTTATTACCTTGCCCATAAATGTATCCCCTATCATATTTGCATTACAAAGCTCGATACTAAAAGCACACAGTAGAAACAAGTACAAACTTAAAACCAGATTAAAGTAGATATCATTATATACAGGAACAATATTTCTATTTTATTTGCAAGTCACCAAGACCACAACTACAAATATACTCTTACTTGACGCAGTAATTTGACAAATCATTATCCCATAACTACGGATAAAAGAATACATTTCAATAATAAATATTTACAACATTTTTGCTATATATGTCTATCGCTAATATACATCAAAAATTTTAAAATGTATCGATAATAGAATGTAAAATATATTTACACTGAAATTAAATTCTTCGTCAAATGTCGGATTAAGAGTCTTTTTCCTAACTTTTGTACGCTTTACTTCTGGTCTATTCCTTAAAATAAAAGGTGGTATAAATGCCTTTATCTGACGATAACCATTGAAAAGAATAACATTGTCAAAGCTATGGTATTAAATTAAATATCCTATAACTTCTCTTAAATCAATGCCATAACATCTCGACCTACTTTGTCGTATAGTTCATTAATTTCACAGAAGCGAAGGTATCCGATGTACCACTACTTTGACATGCATGCAAATCTGTTGCCTCTATGACTCTGTGAAATACATATATACCGCTGATTAGTAACAAAATTACTTCTGATCATTAAAAAAATTAAATTGATGATATACAAAAAATTTAAAATTTAACACTTACTTAACATGTAATTTATAATAACATGTCTTATTCACATATGCATCTTGTAACTTTAATCGTACCCGAATTTTACCCTATTTAAGCAATTTAGAAGATAGGTGAATGAATCTTTTATTCTCAACTAAGAGTATATTATGTGACCCAGAAATTAATAACTAATGTTAGAAATCGAAAGGTGTAATAAATACATCCAACTTGACGCTAAGTTGGTAGAATATTTGTACTAAAAATATTTTATAAAGATTTACAATACACTTTGATTATTAAGGTGAAAAAAAGCAAATAGCCATTTGAGTCGTTATAATAATTTTCTGACCATGCGTAACATATTATTTATTAACATCTAGCATTGAATACTATAATAAAATTTAAAAGAAAATAACGGTATTAAGCGTGATTACATCGATTTAAAAAAAATCAAAAAAAATAAAATGTACTAAAAAATCACATCCGTATCTTTCAGAATCCATGTAATGCCTAACAATATCCTATAATACCATTAGCTAATATTTCCCTTTTATCGACAGGCTATGCTAACCTGAGCTTCAGGTTCAGTATCAACTGGCAAAATAGGGTGCCATTTATCAAGCCCATTGTAAGTATGCAATTCAGATCGTCTTATAATTACCTATGCAAGTATAAAATAAGAATGTTATTACTATTAAAACGTTGTCTAGAATGACCATCACCGACTTTTAGACTGTTGCAAAATCACATTAGACAGCAATAAAGATAACGCATAGTATTTAATATAATCATAACTTTACAAATAAAAAATTGTGTTATATTTTAAGACAGTTTCAGATAAAGGACGACCTAACGAAATAAATTTAGACTACGCATCGAAAATAAAGATTGCAACCCGTTATTTGGTTAATCGACGTGTCTTGCAATTACTTGCTGTTTTAATAGCATACATTTTTTTACAGAAAGATCAAATTAACATAAGTTTGTATATTTTCTTTTTATAAAAAAACTTATTAATTTCTTATATGTTAAAAATTGAAGTTAGTTTTGAAATATAGGTATTATGTAGCTGGTTTTAGCTCGTAGAGCTTGAATAAATTGACCTTTAAATTACAAAATTTAAATTGTTTGTGTAAAGCTATAGTCTACGTACAGTATAACAATTCAAAAACAACAAGAAGGTTGCCATTTTATTTGGCAATGTTAATGATATCTGTATGGCAGAGCCAAAAAACATCGATAATGTAAAATAAAGATTTAGAAATTCTAGAGTATTACTATAAGAGATCAATTGATCTTCGTACGGTACTGATTTACAGTACTATCTAAACAAGCTGGCCATACTATATGAGGTAATTCATGAGGTAACGAGAAAAAATAGCATAAATGGCTGAATATCAGATTGCGATATCCCTCTTACAGTATAACTCTCTTTTATTACAGTATGGATAGCGAAAGTTTTACAATCTGCTTCTCTTTAAATAAATAATTAAACGCAATTGCTCGATTATAAATAAGTTTATGTGTTTAGAATAACAAAATTTGCCTAGTTGAACAAATTCAACTTCTATTCAACATTTAATCATTAATATGACTTGGTAATTGTTTCTGTTTCTCATCATATTAACAAATTATCATTACGAAAACAATAACTATTTACTTGATCCAATAACCCATTTCCATCAAGTTAGGCAAATACTGCATCTATTAAAGAGATCGCTATGCAAAAGGCTATGACATCATTTTAAGGTCCTCAATTTGTTACCGTTGCATTGTAGTAAAATAAATAAAATCATAAATGTGCAAGCGTACTAACGGCATCGAAAGCTTTGTTATACAGTATACTATACCGATCTTACTTTGAGATTTTTCCATCCAAAAGGACAGTCCTATATATCTAGACTTTTACTAAAAAAGCTGACTAACGATAAACTAGTATCTGACTACACCTTACCTTGCCAATTGCTTGATCTTTACGAAAACCAAACAAATCAGTCTCATGTATTTGGAAGGATAACACTCCAAAATCTCTCGGTATATCAAATTCAAATTCTTCACCATAGAACGGACTGCAATAAAAACAACAAATTTCATTTACTTAATCCTAGTTTTTATATGGCTATCTTACTTATCTAGCAACTGCAGTACTTAACAAATCCAAGTTAACCTTTAGCAGCTAATGATACACACATCTTGACAGAGCTAGCATACAGCAGGTGTATTGCAAGTTTAATAAAACTATACGTCCGCGTACATAAGTGTATAATCATATTCCGTCACTGTATTTATAGTGGTGTTGATTCATACCCACTATACATTACGCTTAATGGTATTGCAGCTAATTTCAATCTACGCGTATAAATAAGGAAAACTTTTCAATGAATCATAATTCAAGTATGAATTAGGATAAACAAATCACAGCTTGTTTTTTAGTATTTCAAATAAGAATACCATCGTTAGGTGCATTACTCTACTGTAGAGATATTGGAAGGCAATGATGTAGACTTAAGCCTATTTTGGTCCTTTTAACTTGATCATCTCTACGGTTCTACTTTAATCTTTCTTATCCATATAACCTCTATGGGCATAACTGAAATACGCATAGCTTACTGTTAAACAGCACACAAATTTTGTAAAAAATGTAACGATACCTGACTGTAGGCATTGAACCTTTTAGCACCACCTTACTCTTAGCAAAGCGCGTATAAGTTATACTAACTGTTAAGATTTTTCTCAATTTCATGGTATATATATACCATGGTATAACCTATACGAATGTATACGTTTCCATACAGCATATACTGTACGAGAATATCTAAATTGAAAATCTGCTTCAGTATTACTGTCCATGTACGAATATATTCTACAATATGTATAATATAGATAAAGTCAAGTGTGGATACTAGACTTTAAGCCTTAAAACTATCAATAATTCAGTTGAATGCATTGACTATTAATTAATCAATTTCGATTTTTGTTTGTTGCTTACTGTATATACAACTGTCTATATTCAACTGTACTGTGCTGAGGAGCATCGACCAAAATATGCTTTAATTTAATAAATATTTGATAAATTTATTTACGGTTAGTAACATTTGGTAATATCCCTGATCAGATTACAAAAGATCTGTTTGCAATACAATATCATGTTACCAGGGATTACGATAAAATGTTCAAAATGTTTTTTTTCCATTTATTACTTGGCCACTGAGTCAGCGACCTTATGCTGTTAGTCTAATTTTTCTTGATGAGTAGCCTAAAAAATAAACGACAGTATAGAGTATTTGATGGTTATTACTGTCAAGGCAGCAGAGTTGAATGAAATTGGCAGGGCTAATGTTCCCCCCAAAATACCCCATACCCTACAGTACACTGAGCACAGTCCTGTACTGTACTGTACTGTAGTTGGTACCAGTTCCGCTACAGTGTACAGTACTGTACTGTATGCAGAAGAAATATTCAGTATGGTACTGTACGGTACTGGAGGGGTTTCAAGGTATTGTCGACTTTTCGGCTTCAAAATTAAATCAAACTTTTCTTAGGGGATAGTAGACAAGAATTTTTATTCAATTTAAAAAATTAAGCGATCTTGCCTGATTCTGTGTTGTATAAAATTGCTTATGTTAACTGCCTTTTTAGTGTAGTATGGGTTATGGGTAATATGAGAAGTGGTGTACTATAGACTATTAAGCGAAGATCTCTTTTAGTAATGCCTGACCAACCGTTGACATCATAGCACAGTATACTGTACAGAATCTAACAATCATCTCATCCAAGTGAAATCCCAATCAAATACCTAGACTTTTTGAAATTTTGCAGTAATTGTAGGAAAATACCTGAGTTTTCTTCAGTCAACAATTATGTCTCTGATACAATATTTTTAGACTACCGCAGTCTTGAACTACTGTACTTGTTTCTAGTAGTTTATGGCACAATCCAGTAAAATGAGAGTTATTGTTTTACGCGCAGCGATGACTAAAGATTACACGTAGGCAGACAGAGACAGTACAGACGTCATTATGGTATGATATTTTGGCTGAAAACATAGCGCAATCCAGTACGGTACACTTTGTATTTGATCAAGTAATTAGCTTCAACTTAAAGTTAATGTAGCCCCTTCTTTCTTTTAGTAGTCCCTGGTTAAACCATGGTTCAACCATACACTGAGACAAGGTTATATAAATGACTCATGTCCATGGATATGGTAGAAACGTAAATTACCAATAGGCAAAATGGCATAACAGCATTTTTACGACGACATGGAACTCAAATAGGATAGTATAATTAGATGGTAAAATCGCATGTGGCACCTTAGTTTATGAAGGCGGCGGCATTAATTACGCTGTTCATAATTTTTTTTATTCGCGTACGTTGCATAAATTAACCATTCTGTTTAATTAAGCAAGTAACATTAAGATTTCCGTAGACAGTGCCACAGAGATTGACTTTTAAAGTACCTGCACAGTACAGTGTACATATGGTATCAATCGACTAACCTGTGCGATTTCTCTACGGAAGTTGTTCGAAAAATTTGTTCGTTATCTAATGAGACTTTACAATAGCAATTGCGACCAGAACTATTGGGTAAATTCTTAGCTTCACCTGCAAGGTTTAACCAACAATGAATTATAAACAAGAAAATGATATTGATCGGTAAAAATCATTAATAATGACTCAATAGCAAATTTCTAGTTTCATTAACTTCACATTGAAAAAAAAATGAGAAGAAATTTCAGAATGCATTTCCATCATTCAAGGTTTAACGTTATTTCGACTAGTTAGTATCACTGTGTTTTGCAGCGATAGTTTATAATATAATCGATTAGGTGCCGACGTACTGACATCTTACTCTGTCACTACTGTAGAACATCCATTTGACGATCCTAAAGTCGAAATTGATGCAGTAAAATTTTAATGTAAAAAAATATGCAAAATTGTTATCATGACATTTTTACACAACAACATTCGCCTACCGCATGCAAAGAAGGCGATTTCTTGCACGACAAACGCACGGACTACAGTACTACCATCTAGTTCTGTCTTTCTACGTACAGTAATAACAGTATGCTTGCTTTACACAGTATTATGATCATCATAGGCTTCTTGATTCAGTACGTGACAACGAACGCACCATGACTGTATAAAAGTAAATCTTGGAGTGATTGACTGTACTGTACTGTATAATAAAATAAAATAATCTATGGAAGGGAAGACATCATTTTAGTCTATCCAATTTATAACTACTTTATCTACTTGCTATAGGAAGTACATTCTTGTCAAAAACAGGACAAAAAATTTTAGCGTTGCTATTGCCATGTTGTACGGGTATACTGCACGAAAAGACTGTAGTATGGTATCTATTTGGTGATGACTGGTATTGGATAGCGTTTTTAGAAACAAAATCAATTCTAGTCCCCGTCATTGTTATCATCCAATACTTCAGCGTTTTACGTTAATCTCTTCAACGTGTTCTGTTAATAACAAGCTTTTAATCGGTTGTATAATTTGGAGTATTAATTTTTCATTTAATTATTCTTGTTCGATCACCGCTAAAAAACACACTTCATTCATTAATCAATCCTAAAACGTCAAATAAATCATTTGCCTATCTTGAACTGATGCTAAAGATACAGTAGCGAAAGTAGAATACCGTCGTGCGATAGAGGCAGTCATTTATCGATCAGATACGATATTGAACAGTTTGAAAAATTAATACATTTTACGAAATATTTTATGACTCTTGTAATGCCATGTTCAAAAAGCAAGAGAAGGAGACAATACAATACGGGGGGGTACACAATCCTATAGAACCGCATATGCGGTAGAATTAAGACAACAATACCTAAACCTACCAATTTTAATCTTGATCGTTTCCTCAACACGCACTCGAGGACGCTCGTCGGCGGCCATCATAATCTTTCAAATGTGGTATGTAATAGAAATGATGATGGCTGTGTAATAGAAGACAAAGCTCGCACTTTGATAATGTATATCCAAAATGGAATAAAAACATTTAATGTAAAACAATACCTTTTTACCCAAACGACAACGATCACTAGTCAAATAAAAATGGTTAATAAGCACACGATCTTGATATCTACTGAATGTACCCCTTGTAACTTTAGATTAATAAATTACAAAAATGATTGACTTTATTCGCTATGACATCCACTGTTACTGCAAAGTGGCGAACTTAATACTTAATAGACTAACAGTAAATTCAATCTAACTAAGCTTTTTTAAGGAAATTACTTAAAAAAACGCACAAAACTCAAGTAGCTTGTACTATTGTACGATATACAAAACGTCAGCAATTAACTGGCGATAACTCAATGAAAGATTCTTAAAGTAGTCTATCGATCACGTGGTCCTACTGCCAGTCCTCCTATTGGTTATATTATTTTACAAAAGTCTTCATCATGTTGCCTTTTATCCAATATCCAGAGTGAACAATAGCTTCAGGTAAACAAAAATAAACATCTGAAAATGGAGAACATCAAATAGTGTTTGGTATTCTGTAGTGTATGATCCAATTTGGACGATGGTACAAAGGCCTGCTTGCCATTTTGTTGAATAAAAGCATCAGTTAATCGTTTATTGATCTTGGAAAATTGGAAAAACCGACCAAGATATTAGGTGTGGTCCAAGAAAGTACGCTTAGCTTTGGATGACGATACTTGATTCAAGCGCCAATACTGTACTGTATCTATAGGTCCTATACATCTTCACTGTGCTCACCTTGACGACTGATAGATTATATATTATACAGTGCTGTACTGTCCTCGCAAGAAGACTTATGTCAAGTCGTTACTCAGCCATAGCTCATGTTGAACTTGGATCGCCTCGGCAGAAGGATAATATTTCCAAATACACAATTTTACAAAAGTAGACAACCAATTCAAGTGTTAAATTCGTTACTCAGCCATAGTTTATGTTGAACTTGGATCGCCTCAGCAGAAGGATAATATTTCCAAATACACAATTTTACAAAAGTAGACAACCAATTCAAGTGTTAAATTCGTTACTCAGCCATAGTTTATACTGAACTTGGATCGCCTCGGCAGAAGGATAATATTTCCAAATACACAATCTTACAAAAGTAGACAACCAATTCAAGCGTTATGTTAATTCGTTACTCAGCCATAGTTTATACTGAACTTGGATCGCCTCGGCAGAAGGATAATATTTCCAAATACACAATTTCGCAAAAGTAGACAACCAATTCAAGTGTTGATTCTCAACTTGAGTACAGAAATCGAGTGAAGTTCATAAACAAAAATGGCCGCACCCACGATACAGATTCAGAATGCACAAAGTT